TTGAAAAAAGTCAGACTTAATTCCTTCGCAGGACTTTATTTTCCTAGGCGAACACTACCTTACTCACCAGGTATTAGTTCTACCTCCATAAGAAAAGTTTCAGAACCTTTGTTAAAAAATTCATTTGTTAATTTTCTTTCTCAGGAAACAGTTACTGCTCGCCAATTTTCACAACTGCTAGGTTTTTTTAATTCTCTAGCGGACGTTGTTCCTCTTGGTCGCCTGCTCATCCGACCTCTTCAATTCTATCTACATCAGCATTGGCAACCAACTACGCAGAATTTGGAATTTCCAGTTCCAATCATTCATCAGGACTTGTCTCATCAACTGGTTTGGTGGACTTTTCAAGCAAACGTTATGAGAGGCCAACTTCTCTCCTCTCCAGTAACAAATCAGACTCTGTTCACAGATGCCTCCAATATCTCAATTGGGGGGGGGGGGGGGGGGGGGGCTCTCTGGAAAGTCACATCAACATACTAGAAATGACGGCAGTTCTTCTTGCACTGTCTCATTTTCAGTCCCTTCTGCAGAACAAATTTCTGGTTCTAGCATCGTACAACACCACGGCAATTGCTTATTTGCGAAACAAAGGAGGAACCTGATGTTACATTGTGAGAGCTGTTTCTTTTAGCAAGAGAAATACTCCTTCCTTGCAATCATCTTCATCTACAGATTGTAGTTCGTCATGTCCCAGGGAAACTCAATGTTTTAGCAGATGCTATGTCCAGAACCCTTACCCAAGTCAATAGGAATAGGATTGGGAACTTCTTCAATCAGTTGTTCATGCAATAGCCCTTCAGTCAGGGTCTCTTTATGTAGACCTGTTTGCAACAAGCCTGAATTACAAACTTCAAGTGTTCGTGTATCATGTACCAGATGCGAAAGCCTACGTAGTAGACGCCATGTGTGTTCCTTGGGAGTGAATTTTTGCTTACGCCTTCCCTCCTTTCAGATTCTTGTTGGCAATTCTTCGGAAGATTTTAGCAGAGCAAGGGCTTCCATTCTAATTGCTCAAGCTAAGCCTAAACAAGCCTTGTTTCCAGATCTCCGTCAACTGTCTTGTGCTCGTCCACTGGTTAAACCAGTTAGACACAATCTTCTTTCCTAGTTCAGGGCAATATTCTTCATCCCAATCCAGAGAAGCTACATCTATACGCGTGGCTTCTCTCAGGGATAGCTTCAAGGAGAGAGGTTTTTTTCTGAATGCGCAGCCAGACACCTCTCCTGAGCAGAGAGTCCACTAACATCGTCTATGATGCCAAGCTGACAATCTCCAGTAGTTGGTGTAGTGAGAAGGAAGTTGATACTTTCCAAATCTCTGTACAGCAATTAGCAGACTTCCTGATCCACCTTTTTGAGGAGAAAGGTTTATCTCCCACTACCATAAAAGGTTATCGATCAGCTATTTCTAGAACTATTCACTTGTCTGGAGGTCCAGATTTTGGTAATGATGAGTTCATTTCTCTTTTAGTTAAGAATTTCAATCTTGAACGCCAGTGACAGAGGGTTTTAAGCCTCTGGTTTTGTTAATCTTGTATGTTTTTTTTAATTTTAGTTCATTTATATGTTTTGGAGTTTAGTGTGACGTCCATTTTCATTGAACTAGTACACATGTTTGTTAAGGGGCCAGCTCAACCCCGCTTCCGGGTGCGGGATTTTCTCGCTGTGTTGAAGACCCATTGGTGGTCTTCAGCTGTTTTCTGCTCATTGTTGGTGTCTCTTTGACACATTCCCCAGTTCCATTCTCAATTTTATTGGAATTTGAGTGTGATTTTATTTGTTTCAAAAACCCATCCTTTTGAACCCGCCGAAAAGGTTGAAATCATGTTCTTATCGTAAAAGTGTTGTTTTCTTCTTGCCTTGGCTTGTGGTAGAAGAAGAAGTTAAATTCATGCTTTTTCCACAGCCGACTACTGTCTTTTTTTAATAGGGATAAGTCTTCTGTTACTCTCCTAACCGATCCAGCCTTTTTCGCCAAAAATCAAATTCCTGGCCCAGGTTCAGAACCGATAGTGATTCAAGCCCTTCCTGATGATTCAAGGTCAAAGGTACTCTTTCCTATCCTAAGCTTACTTTTATATCTTCAGAGAACTCGTAGTCTTCGCACCTCTTCAAAATTCCAGGATATTTATTCCTGTTAATTAGGGGAAACAAGATTTGTCTGCTAAAACCATTTCAACTTGGATCTTTGAAACTATTCAATTATCTTACAATTCTTCTTATGAAGAACTTCTGAATAGTATGCACGTTAAGGCTCATGATGTAAGAGCTATTTCTACCTCCTTGACACTTTTCGATAATGCTTCTTTGGAGGAAGTTCTATCTGCAGGTTTCTGGATAACTGAAAATTCTTTCATTTCTCACTATCTGCAATCTTTATCTTCACAAGCTTAGACTTTGTATTCTTTAGGACCTTTAGTGTCTGCACAAAGAGTTGTTTTTCCTCCTGCACCTTCTGGTTCAGGAGGTTCAGCTTTGCGTTAGATTCTGCATTTTACTCAGAATTTATGATGGTAGCGTATTTATTGATATAAAACTGTACAATTTTAAAGTAAAATGAGATTTTATAAAATAAATACTTACCATCATAAATTAAAGGCCCCTCCCAACGTCCCCTTATCCCCAGATTTGTTCCTAGGGCTTCTTGCTTACTTTAAGACATTAAATGGATGATATAAAGGCAGGATTTTATGGACATAGGTCATCCCTTGTTTTCATTGGCTGTTATTTTTTTTGGGGGGGGGGGGGGGGGGTGGGGGGTCCACCTGTCAGACTTGTGCAGATGGACATACTCAGAATTTATGATGGTAAGTATTTATTTCATAAAATCTCATTTTACTTTAAAAATGTACAATATTTGAATGTGGAAATAATTAGAAGTTACAGATCAAGATTGAGTTTTATTACAGTTGAGTGATTTTCCAAAAGTTGTGGATCAAGGACATAGAAATTGCTTATAAATATCAATTTTCTGCACTTTGTGATGCTGCTGCAACAATGTATTAGTTTGTGATTAGGTCACTTTATGGGGAACCACTTGTAGTTGGTCAATGATATTTGGTATGCAGTTGTATAAGTATTGGCAAATTTCATATCCATGAAGATTATTTGGTCCTGTCCCTTCAGTCAGGGTCTATTAACTTTGAATGTTTTGCATTGTTTACGTGTTAAAAGTTTGTGTTTAGTGTTGTTTAAAGGGAACGACTTATGATAAGTCAATGGTATTTGGTATGCAGTTTTATAAGCATTGGCATTTCTCATTTCCATGGAGGTTTATAGGCTCTGCACTTTCAGTCAAGGTTCATTGACTTTGGATGAATTGCATAGTTTACATTTTTAAATATTGCCATTTTATTATAATTTCAATTTGCATTATATTATCAAAATTGCAAAAAGCGAGACATATCTCTGTGTCAACAGTTTATTTACACTTTCTGTTAAATGTCTGAATCATTTGATTAGGTATTTGGTATATAATCACATCATAATGAGTTACACATTTTTTAGTTTCACTAGTTCTGGTTGAGCAATTTTTGCAGAGGTTGTGTCCCTTGAAAATAGAAAATTGCTTGAATATATCCGTTTTTTTAGGAAGAAAAAACATGATCCATTTTATGATAAATATTCTGACTTGATTATTGATAATACAGATATTTCTATCTATATAAACGACATCTCTTACCATGAAAATTCAGCAGACCTCCTTTCATATGGTATGCTTGTTCCATATGAGTGTAATCTCATCCAATGTTCAAGTCAGAAGGGTACATTTTATTGTATATGCAATATGCTCAGAATAAAATTGAGAATGGAAACTGGGAATGTGTCAAAGAGACAACAACCCGACCAGAGAGCAGAAAACATCCCAAGGCAACCAATGGGTCTTCAACGCAGCAAGAAAATCACGCACCCGGAAGGCAGGCTTCAGCCGGCCCCTAAACAATAATGTATACTAGTTCAGTAAATGAACTAAAGTTAAAAAAACATACATGACTAACAAAGGCCGAGGCTCCTGACTTAGGACAGGCAAAAAAATGTGGCGGGATTAAACAAGTTTTGTGAGCTCTCAACCCTCCCCTATACCTCTAGCCAATGTGGAATAAAAAAACACACAGTAATATGCACAGTAAAACTCAGCTTAAAAGTCCAAGTCCGATGTTACACATAAAAATAAGAAGATGTGGTATGAGTGCCAATGAGACAATTCTCCATCCAAGTCACAATGTATAAAAAGTTGACAATTATAGGTCAAAGATCGGCCTTCAACACGGAGCCTTTGCTCACACCCTACAGCAAGCTATAAAGGGCCCCAAAATGACTACTGTAAAATAATTTAAACAGGAAAACCAAACATCTAATCTATATAAAAAACGAGAAACGAGAAACACTTATGAACCACATCAACAAACGACAACCACTGAACAACAGGTTCCTGACTTAGGACAGGTGCAAACAAATGCATGCTTGTTTAATACAAACTCACAAAGGATGCATTGTTGATAGGATACAACGAAGATCTGAGAACTAAGGGTGAGGCGACTGAAAATTGGGAGCATGAGTTTGGGATGTGACCCATTATCTAATAATCCACTTTTCAGCATAGAGGGATATGATTTATCATTTAGTTCCTGATTTTTCTAGAGTTGGAAAATTAATTTGACCACATACCAAAAGCAAATTAAAAATCTTTTAAAGACCTCAAAATCAGTATGGTTAAAATTTCAAACAGTAGGTGCACAACTTCAAGTCCTGTAGATGAATCTGCAGGTTTTGGGAATTCTGTCAAGGAGATGCAGAAAAACATAAAGTGTATCATTGAAGACAGCAGAAGTAATACCTTTATGTCCCTACAGCTCTACTGTTATGAGACACAATAACTTAATTATATATAAAAGGCATTGACTCTATTAACTATTCGCCAGGAATATTGATAACTGACAAATGTTCAATTTAACAAATATATTTAAACGAATGTGGCATCAACTAAATAAAAAATTAAATCATTGAACAGGTTGATTTATTGTAAGATTTAGCACTATTACATATGTCTGTATTGCATTTCTTTGAAAAAACTTACAAGTGTTGATTGTACATCTTTCAGTCAAATGAATTAATTTACACCTTAGTGCATACATACTACTTATTATATCTCAGTCAATACTAAAAATTAGATTAAATATACTCTTAAGGTAGATGGGGGTATAAATTAAAATCGATAGAATTTTCTAATTATTTGTAAAAATGCAGTTTGAAGTAATCTTTTTTCAAAAACAAAATAAAAAGTATGGGTCACAGGGCTTTTTATCAAGCTACAGGTTGTGCAAAATTGTCAGATTTTGTATAGATTATACATGGAAAACCTAATCTTTTGCGATAAAAAGAAAACTAAACAATCAAATTTTTAAATTAAATTTATGAGAAGATAGCTCTTATAATGTGCTTTCAGAAAATAAAAAGAAAAATTGGGGTCATGGCACTTGTTTTTCTCGATACAAAACAAAATACCTAAATTCATAATATATTACTTTATAAAAAAGTACATTATCAGAGTTATCTCCCCTTATATGACAAAGTTGTAACAAATTGAATCAAAAACAAAAAATACTTTGTATTTGTAAAAAACTGTTGAGAAAATATAATAAAACACATATTTTTCTTCATTAAGATGAAAAGACTAACAAAAGAATTGCATTCGTCTCACAAAATTTGCACTTTTAATTAAAGATCTAAACCGATTGTGTTCTTCTATTTTACAATCCAAGATGGCGGAAGACTCTCAAACTACCTTAACAATATCCCATAGATATAAAAACATACAAAGGATTCAATACTTAATTACACAAATCTATGCATGTTTAGTGGAATTCTGTTACAGAGATGCAGAAAAACTAACAGTGTGACACGGAAGACAAAGATGATGCGAGACAGCAGAAGTAATTACAGACAGACAGGACAGACACTAAGACAAAGCACTTTGATTTATTCCTCTGTATCCCTAAACATCAACTGTCATGAGACACAATAATTACAGTGGGACATATTATATCATATTCCTAGGGAACCCATCTTAATTATTTTCTTAGTTGATCAAATTTTCCACAAAACAGGGACTATTGAAGTATTTTATGTCAATTTGACAAGGAACCAATGAAACAATAGTGATGTTCAATAAACTATGAAACTTGGCATCCACAAATAAAAAAACCTTTTATAGAATATAAAATAATGACATTTCTTTTCATTCATTTCATCATGAATAACATTTTATGCACACTAATACAGTAAGAAAACTTATCTTAATATATATATCTTGATCATGATAACCAATAAGTTTCTTGACACAACCATATCAACATTTTCACAGCACTGACCTTCTACAGTGTAGTATAATAAATTAAAATTACAAACAAAAATATTATCTACAAATAAATATTTACAATTAAAATTATAAAACAGTTTGTCATCAAGTCATTTTTAATGTTGTTTTAAAATTATTCATTTCAAAAAATGAAAAATTTTCATTGCCATATAAAGCTCATTTATAAAACTCTTCAAATTGAAAAGGGGAATTCAGTCTATGGTATTTTTTTTAAACATTCATCAGATCTGACAATTTTACTTTTCCATCATCAAATATGTCTTTTCAGAATCTAAAGGATTATGGGTAATTTCATTGTAAGTGCACCAAAATAAAAATAACATCACATCATTGGTTGAATATCCATTGATTTGGATGTTGTTAGCCAATCACAACATTTTAATGAAAGCTTTTGAATACATAACCAAGAATGCTTCATATTCTATCATATGGGGAACTGTAGAAGGCACATTTATACACATATTTTCACAATACTTAACCATATGTTTTATATTAATTTAGCCAAAATGTTTGTAAAATTTTGTTTGTATTTTTTGCAAAAAACTGAAAATTTTGCTTATAAAGTCACTTTTATGATGTGACAGGCAAATTGTGTCATCAAAGGCTTGGTATATATTCAATTTTTTTTTAAAGTCTTTCTTCTTCAAAAATGTGATAAGTAATGGTCTCATATGTTTTATTTTCAGTGAAATTAACAGTGCAAAAAAGCCCCAAATCATACAATATCTTCTCCATTCAAATTGCAAATAGATAACTAGTACCACTTATAACAAAAAAAGATAGTTATCAATTATATAAACTGATAGTAAGTTAATAGCTGCCATATCAAAATTAAATAAAGAGATGATCAGCTACAAGCAATTATAGCAGTACTTATCAAATGGTTTTTTTTATATAATATATTGCATTATTTCATTGCAAGAAAATTACATAAGAATTACTGATCGTAATGACTGAAAATAATCTTAACACTGGCCCCTGCCTCATACAATATCTATAGATATTTCTGGAATGCTCCAACAACACCAAAGTTCTAGAACCAGATTAAACCAATATGAAGAGATAAAGAGTAGTTTTAAAAAATTGAATCAAATCATTTTCACTTAACTTCTCACATAAACAAAAAGAAAGCAGATAGACTGATGCAAAGACAAAATCCTTTTATTTATCCAATCCACTATGTTGATTAAAATCAAGTATCTATGAACCAGTTAAATAGTCTATATGTAACCTAATAACAAAGAGTGTTCATACATAAATGAACTTGACAATAAATTTATCAGTTGACAAGGATGGAAAAAAGACATTAACTTAACATGAAAATTAGTCTTTACTTCTACAATAGGATCAAAGAACATTCTTGTTCAATTGTTTTCCATCTTTTAAGTTTATATCAATAAAAACCATGAACCAATCTAACATAATATCATTTTTCAGCTTTGTTAGATAATCATCATAAAATTTCTTGACTAAATAATTCAACAATAAATGGGGAATGTGTCCATGGGACACAGATGATGCCCCCGCTTGCATATAACGTTATAAAGGGCCATAACTCAAGAACCGTAAAAGTGACACTACCCAAATTTGAACTTGATCTGAGTTTTGTGGTAATAAGCATTGTTTATAAGTTTCATAACATTTAGTTGACGTAAACTTAAATTAGAGAACAGAAAAGAAAAATTCAGCGATTTTTCCATTTGTAAAGGGGCATAACTTTAGAACGGTGAAAGTGACACCACCAAAATTCAAACTTGATCTGTTTTTTGTGGTAATAAACATTGTTGATAAGTTTCATAACATTTGGTTGAGGCAAACTAAAGTTAGAGAAGGGAAAGGAAAAATTCAGCAATTTTTCCATTTGTAAAGGGGCATAACTCTCGAACGGTAAAAGTGATGCCACCAAAATGCATACTCGATCTGTCTTTTGTGGTAATAAGCATTGTGGATAAGTTTTATAACATTTGATTGAGGCAAACTAAAGTTAGTGAACGGAAATCAATTTTGGGACGAAAGGACGTACAGACGGTCAAGGGTAAAACTTAATGCCCCCTCCGCTACGGAGGGGGCATAACTAATTAAAAAAGTTTTTGTCTTGATTAGAATTATAAGAAATGACATGACAGAACATCAGATTGTAAGGGATTTCTAAAAACTTCTCCAGTTTCTTATATTGTTTCCTTTGAACAATTTTAATACCAAAGCATCATCTCTTATGTGCAGCTTTTCTTCTGAGTATCCCAAACTGAATGTCAAAATGGTTTTATAATATATTCAAGCAGCTCATATGTTGCAAACTTAGAAGCCTAATGATTTGTTCATATATGTCTTCTTTTTCCTTTACCTAAGGTGTGGTAGCTTTGTAATCTTCAGATAACTGTCGCTTCACTGAGTTCTTTGAAACAGCTTCTTCACCCATGCAAGATTCCTTACTGTACAACATTTCCCGTGACATTTCTCTCTCAATAGCAGGAGAGTCAGGTTCACTATCAGTGTTTTCTAGAGATCCATCAAAAACTTTGACAATATATTCAAATAAGTTCATATTTGGTTTCCTCCGTGACTTTCTTAACACTCCTTCATACCTTTCTATCAAATTCAAAATGGTACCTATATAAAAATATTGGTAGAAATTTAAAATGCATTTATAAAACTTGTTCTATATTCAAAAATGTTAATGCATGATGATAACTTACAGATTGAGTGTGTATTTAGTTCTACTGTGAAAGTACTTTTATTTGTGGGGTACCAATTTTTGTGGTTTTCGTGGATGACTTTGTCCATTAATTTAAGTGTCTGCATAAATAACAACTATTTTCCAAATCAAGACATGGAAAGATCCTCATGTAGGTTTGACTACATGGATACGGGCATATAATCTAGAAAATACATCAAATATCCCTTAAATGCACTATGAAAAACTTCAGACAGGATTTTACCCATTTAATCTTTAAAAAAACCTAAACTGTATGACTTTTAACCTTTTAATTATCATGAAAAATTAGTTTTGATCGATGAAAGTCAGAATTCCGTTGACAATATGACATGATGAGGTATTCATTTTATCTCCTCATAATTCTCTTATGAAATTTTTTTTTTAAATTCATCTTGGGCTTGCTTTTTTATTTCATAAGAATTAATTCTACAACTCAAATTACATTTAAACACAAGTGAACCAACGCCTGGTAAATATTCTGTCAGTAGATTCCATTACATTTGTAGCATTTTTTTATGTAACCATTTTCTTTAAGTGACATGTTTATGGCCCAATTAAAAAACTTTGATAATTGTTAATCTGTTGATCATTAGATCTCAGTTTAATAAGGGTCATCACTTCTGATTACACATGTGCAACAATTGAAATGTTTACTTTGCAATTTCTTTCAATTGAGACAATTTGTAAGCATAGACAAATCAGCTTATATTCTGAAGTGAAAATGAACAACTTATTTTGCAATCTCCCACAAATCGTTATAAAACAACATATGATTATTTTAAAGAATCTTTCGAGAAACTTTTGCTCAAACCACAAAAATTGATACACATGAATTAAAGTACTTTCACGGTTGTTGATAAAATTTACACTGAAATAAGGTCCTTGGACTTATAAAAACTACATGAAAATTGACCTTTTTTATGGTGGAAGATCTGAAATTGAGATTTGGTATATAAGTGTTCAATGATGATATACAGATTGAGTGTTTAGATTAAGTTCTAGTCCACAAATTGTAGACGGGGGCATTTGTGTCGTACACTCATTTATACTTTTAAATGTAATCATTCATTCTTATCAGACAAGTAATTATTATTTTAAGAACTCTTAAAGAAAGAAGTGAATTTATTGGGAAAATTACCAAATTTGCATACAAAAAGACAAACATAATGAAGTATATGGAGTATATGTTTCCCAGTTGATAAGATATTCCAGAGCTTGCATTTCCTATCATGATTTCCTTGATAGAGAGTTGCTGCTGACAAAGAATCTAGTAAACCAGGAGTTATAAGTGGTGAAGTTGTAACCATCCCTTCAAAAATTTAACGGACACCATCACAAGTTGGTTGACCCTTATGGAATATCTGTTTCACTGATGATGATGGATATGTTCCAATTGTAGTAATCACAGTCCCGGGATTTATTACCAGGTTTGAACCTACATGAGCAAAACGACAGGTGCCATACGTAGAGCAGGATCTGCTTACCCTTCCGGAGCATCTGAGTGCCACCGGGTTTTTGGTGGGATATGTGTTGCTTTATCATTAGTTTTCTATGTCATGTTTTGTATAATGTTGTTTTGTCTTTGGAAAGTTTTGGTTTTTGCCATGGCATTGTCAGTTTGTGTTTGACTTATGAGTTTGAATATTCCTTTTGCCTCTCTTTTTTAATTAAAGGATTCATTTAAATGGATTCAATTTAATATTTTTGATTTTAAAAGAGGACAATTTATCAAATTCAAACTATAAAACAGACAAGACAATTTCCAAATTTTTAACTTTTTTGTCAGAAAATGCATTGTGATGTTGGGGCTATTCTATTAAACTGGAAGTGAGAAAATAGGAATGGACTTTCAAAGTACCCAACAACAAACGTACTTTCTTCTAGTAGTTTTGCATATATCAAATGGATATATAACCACAAATGATCAGAGCCCAAAAAAATCCTTTCTATCCAACATATGTTTAATGGAATAGCCCTCATCAACTCAGTATGATTGTGGTAATCAATCAGTATTTCAACATACACAAATCATAACTTTCAGTCAGTACCATTACTTTGTTTCCAATCTATTTACAGCAGTAAACTATACTTACCTATACCTAAAGGATTTGTGACAGTAAGATATTGGTGTATATTGAATATATCATTCTTTAGTCTTTCATCATCAAAAGTATAATAGCATACATCCCTCTTAGCTGCTGTAGCTGCCATTAATTGGATTAATGCTGAAATATACAACATGTTACATCTGTCAGATTCAGGAGAGTGCTGAGGGGTGTCCCCTTCCAAACTTTGACAAAATTCATTCCAGTTAGAGATTTGATGAACTACAGCTGTTATATGTATAGATCCCTGATGGCACTCTTGACTGAATAGCAGTTCAAAATTTTTCATATTTGCATTATATAAGAAAACAAGAAGTTGCACATGTTGTCCTGCTAAGCATACTCCACTCATATCTAATGTATAATAAACTGTTAACACAGAGATATGTCTCGCTTATATTTGTTATTTTGATAATGCAAATGTTGAAATTAAAATAGCAATACTTTAACATGTAAGTTATGCAAATATTCAAAGTCAATGAACCATGACTGAAGGTACAGGGCTAAACAATCTCCATGGAAATGAGATGTGCCAATGCTAATACAACTGCAAACCAAATACCATTGACGTTCCCTTTAAACAAACCTAAACACAAACATTAACTTGTAAACTATGTAAAAGTTTCAAAGTCAATGAACCATAATTAGGGGGTGGGGTTATATAATCTCCATAGAAATGAAACTTACAAATGCCAATACATTTGCATACCCAATATCATTGACTTTACATTAGTGGTTCATCTTAAACTGACCTAATCACAAACTAATACATGTAAACTAAGCAAAAGTTTCAAAGTCAATAGACCATAACTGAGGGGTAAGGACCAAATATTCTCTGTAATGTCAATTTTCATAAACATATTTTTTGTCGATTCACTATTCATGTACAGTGATTATGAGAGAGTTCCGAATGAAAATGACACCAATAACTTGACAAATCTGTGTTGAAATTTCATGGAAATATTTCTAATTTGGTGAGTTTTTTGTATTGAAATTATTGTATAAACCTTCCGTAACTTGTCTGAGTTGTATTGCATGAGGTTAAGAACTTTATTCAGTGAATATAATTTCAAAGTCCTCTCAGACGCATGTTGTATTTCTATAAATAGATATTTCACAGGTTGTAAAGTGCGAATCGATAATTAGATTTTTGTGTCAATGATGTTTCATTGATTTGTGGTTAATATCGTTTTTATGTATTTTCACTGGGTAAAACAAGATGTTTACAATTTTTGATATATATACATTTGTTTATTGTTCTCTGGATAACATGTATTTTGCATGTTTTGAACTTTTATTATTCAAGTGAATGACAGTATTTTTCTGTTTTCTTTTCAGTAAATCGTATTTACCGTATTTAGAGTATGACGTATTTGTATGGAACGTATTCGTATTGAGGAATTAAATATGGAACGTATTATGATGTATTGAACTTTATTAGAATATCACTGTGTTTACTGTGTTCACTGGATATAATAAAGATTAATAAACTTTCTCTGGAATACGCATTTGCCTTAGTATATTTCCACACCCTAAGTTTCTAGCCAACACATTCTCCATGAAAATGAGATGTGCTAATGCTTATACAACTGCATACCAATTATCACTGACCTACCACTAGTGGTTCCCAATAAACTGACCTAATCACAAACTAATACATGTAAACTAAGCAAAGTTTCAAAGTCAATAGACCTTGACTGAGGAGGCGGGGCCAAATAATCTCCATGGTAATGAGATGTGCCAATGCTAATACAACTGCATACCAAATATCATTGATCTACCACTAGTAGTTCACCATGAAATAGACCTAATCACAAACTAATACATTGTTGATGCCGCCGCAGCCGCCGGAAACAGCATACATATGTCTCGCTTTTTGACTCTGTCAAGGCGAGACAAAAACATGTAATATGTGTCTGTCAGATCAAATTGAAGTATTCAAATAAGATCAAGATGGTTTGGGGTATTTCAAAATATATGTAATTATGTGACTGTCATATGAGTGTAAGGTATGGTTGTAGAAAATCTTCTTTAGCTTATCCTTTTCCATTTAAAATGGCTACCATTCAGGAAAATGTCAGGTATTCTTCAATTTTCATATGTTTAGCACTTTATTCTTCAATATTTTTATAGCCTTGTCTTAGAAAAATAAAATTTGGGATTCAAATAACACTTATGGATTTTGGTGCAAACCGTAAGCAAGAGTATGAATTTGTGAGCTCTTTTCATTTTTCAATTCTTGTTGATGTTCAAATCTTCAAATTTTACTCCTCAATTAGTTTCTGTATTTTACCTTTTAATCTTTTATCTCCACCAAAAGCACCACAACCCCAATTACCAGTACAGACCGCAGATAAATTTATTTCATGAGGGGGATTCTTTGCTCCTCCAAGTGACACAAATCCACAGTAGGCCTATGAAACAAATTAACATAATTAATCATTTCCAAATCTAACTATGTAATAATTACAAAATAGTATGCTATAATATTTTGATTGGTTAACATACAACTTATGGATAATTAATCAATAGTGAAATAATATTTCATTTTGTTTTACCAACATGGAAATTAACCCACATTTTAGTTTGTAAAAAGAAAATAATTTCAGATAGATACAAAGAGCATACAATGAGTGACGATAATTACTTGTAAACATATGATGATAATAAATCTGGAAGTACTGGGCAGAATACATACTCAAGCCAAGGCCCATCTCATAAGTGTCACAATTCCAATTACCTAAACTGGATTTCCATAGCTTATCAAAAAATACTTAAAAATATACAGAACATTTCAAATGCATTTCAATTATATTGAAGTCTTGTTTTGTTATAATTCCCAATTTCCCAATACATCAAATAAATACAGCCGATCACAAAACAAAATTTGTTTTGTTTAATAAATCTGCAAAAATAGTTCTATAAAATCTACTTTATTTTTTATTTCCAATTTTTAATGCTTGTTCTCATGTTGTGCTGTTTCACCACTGTCCAAGATTAGGAGGGTTGAGTGCTCACAAACATGTTTAACCCCTCCACATTATTTTTGTGCGTGTATATTGAATTGTTATAAATTAGGCTGTTAGTTTTTTCATTTGAACTGGTTCACATTTTTCATGTTGATGCCTATTAGAGCTGAGTTTAACGTTTTGGTTTTTCTCATTGTGAAGGCTGATTGGTGACCTATAATGGCTAACATCCACATCATTTTATTTCTGTTGGCTATTTATCTCAATGGCATTTATTCAACATCTCATTATTTTATAAACAAAATATTCTGTGACTACAAATGTAATTAAAAATTGAATTTGCATTATATAATAAAGCCAGTCAAAATTAAAAGATATTAAAATATGAATCAATGCAAATTATACAGCAACACAACAATAAAAACTAAATAGTACCTACCTTATTTAATTCTCTTTTTACTATATCACCTTTAAACTGTCTATCATAATGGTGGATAACCAAGGCATCAATGGCAGTCACATGGGTACACAATCTTCCCCAATCATCTCTGAAAATAAAATTTATTGGTTGTTTTGTAGATGAATAACACTTCTTCAGTGTAAACAGATCTCCTAGATTAATGACTATTGCTTTATACATTGCTATCGAACATACTGGTTATATCACTGTAAAAATTCACATTTAATAGATATACAAAATGTTAACAAGCAAGACGTAAAAAGATCAAGTCTTTTATAATTTACAGCGAAAAAAAATTACTGTTCTAAAACAAAAGTATTAAATACAAATCAAATAAAATATAAAAAGAAGAAAAACACTGACAATAAAAGAGACACATAGGACACTATTACCAGCTCCCTCTATCCCATTCCTACATTCAATGAACAGTGACATCTTGACAACACCTTAACTTGGCATATATATTTAATAAACAGTTAACTTCATAATGAACATGTGTACTAAGTTTTTTGTTGCTGTGACCACAAACTACCTTAAACCAAAATTTAAGCCTACCTAAAATCAATCATGATATAATATTAAAAAGACTGAAAAATTGTACTACTTTAATTTCAGGTGCGAAATTTTGAAATTTCAGGTGCCAAATAAAAGTTCCAATCAAATCTCCACCTACTGTTTATCTAAGGGAGTCAGGACTGTCATCTGTGCATCAAAACTGACAATAACTGGGACTCATTTAATTTATAACTACAGTGTTTTTTATCATACCTTGGAGTTTTAGAGTCATCATAGTCTCCTTTCCATTCAAAAGTTCTAGCATATCCATCATATGAACTAAACCTTTCACAACCTGCAGAAAATATGCAATAAGTTCAGATACGTAATACTTCAGGTTCATCACTTCAACTAGATATTGAATTGATAATTGTTGTCACTACAGCTTCAAAGAGTACTATGCTAGTTATTTCATAGTTGTCTCATTGGCACTCACACACATCTTCTTATTTATACTCATATTTTTACCTTCCCATATTGGCACTAGTGGAGGAGGCACTGCTAACCCTTTCATAACACCAGTGTTCACCCCTAGTTTTATTCTTAACAGGTGTTAGTTGCTTTTACAATGTATATAGTATTAAGTGTTGTATCTGTGCTATTTTATTTGTCAATGTGTGTGTTGTTTCTATCAGTAATGGTCTTGTCTATACTATGTCCAGAATAGCCTTATGTCCAGAATAACCTCTTTTCATTTCAAATTTTCATATTTGGTCATGCACTAGAATTAGAGAATTTCCATATACCAAATGTCTCAGGTTAGAAAACAGACAGAATAGATGCAGATTCATGATTTTCAAAGGGGGGCGGGGGGGGGGGGGGGGGGCAACCAAGGCAACATTAGGAGTGGGACCTATAAAAAGTCATTGCATTTACCATATATACCTATTCTAACATCGGATTATTGCAGTGTGTTTGTTTATTCTACATTGGCTAGAGGTATAGGGGAAGGGTTGAGATCTCACAAAACATGTTTGACTCCGCCATATTTTTGCGCCTGTCCCAAGTCAGGAACCTCTGGCCTTGTTAGTCTTGTATATTTTTTTAATTTTGGTTCATTTATATGTTTCGGAGTTTAGAGTGACGTCGCTTTTCTTTGAACTAAAATTGAAAATGGAAATGGGGAATGTGTCAAAGAGACAACAACCTGACCAAAGAGCAGAAAACAGCCCAAGGCCACCAATGGGTCTTCAACACAGCGAGTAATTTCCGCACCCGGAGGCGGGCTCCATCGGGCCTCTAAACAAAAATGTGTACTAGTTCAGTGAAAATGGATGTCACAATAAACTCCGAAACATATAAATGAACTAAAAATATAAAAACATACAAGACTAACAAATGCAAGCGCAAAAATGTGGCGGGGTTGAAAATGTTTTGTGAGATCTCAACCCCCCTCTATACCTCTACTAAGCCAATGTAGAATAAACAAAAACACAGCAATACACACAGTAAAACTCAGTTTAAAAGAATACATTTGTGTTTAGGGGCCAGCTTACATCCACTTCATTTGAACTTTGGTGGATAGTTGTATCATTGGCAATCATACCTCATCTCCTCATTTTTATATTGTAAAAGCCAAATAGTCATGTGCACGTTCCGATCATGAACGTTTCTTTTTAGATATTTCTAAATGTTTCTTGTTATTTGGGAAATGAGATGTTGATGGTTAATCTTGATAATCTCTGCTAAATTAATTAACAACTTTACTAGGGTCTTGTCTGTGAAAACCTTGCCATAATGTATAAATATTTATATATTGTTGAAGGCAGTATGTTGACCTCTGGATATCTTTTGGTTTTGTGTCGTAAATTTATTCATAAAGCATGCACAAAAGGACCCTATGGTATTAAATGAGAATTTTGAAAATGTTTAACGACAGACAGGTGAGGGACGAGGATTGATGGGGACAGAACAGAAAGCCATTTTAAACAAAATCATATGTCATATTTTTACATACAACCCTGAATCAAGTTTCAGCAGTACATTTTGCCTTTCCAAATATACAGTTCTTAAAAATCTTCTTAGATTAATGAAATTGATGAGTAGATAATTGGATGACCAGCATCTAAAAATATTCAAATCAATCATTCATGTACAGCAAAAATACTAAAAAAATTAGGTAGAAAATACGGCAAATGGACAACGAAAAACGACGAAAGACAAACGACAGTCTTAAAAAAACAACATAGAAAACGAAAGATTAGTGACCCTACCGAAAACCGGAATACTGGAAAATCCCAGGTTTTACTGGGTTATACTGGGCAATACTGGGTAATATGTCAATTACAAATGTAATACATGAAAGATATATATGACATGACATTTTTATGTATAAATCTAATATTTTAATATATAGGCTCACTTTTTTGAGACTTTTATTTCAAAGTGTAAAAATTTAAGAAGGTGTTGGTCCAGCAACTCTTTATACAAACATAAGCACACTTAGACTAATATGTAAAAGATTTACAGATAATCCTCCTAAAACTTGTAAAAATTTATTAAATTGTCATGCTGTCTTAATTGGTCAAACTGTTAACATGTAGACAAAGTATTAATATATATAACCTTTTTTTTTTATATATATAGCTAATATTTAGAGTAAACAATTTATTATATGTAAAGGAAATGACTATTCAAAAATTTTTGTTCATTACTATTTTTAGTGTTGAAATAATTTTAGCATACTTATATGAACACCACTTAATAATAAGCAATTATTCAGATTATTACACAGATTTGTTTTTATTGCAATAATTGGCTTTTTCATCTCTATAACTGTGGGTAACATGACATGTACCATTATGGTGTATATTTAGCAATATGATTGTATAGCAATTAAATTTTCAAAGTCACTTTACTAATACTACATTAAAATGCATTTTTTTCAAACTTTAGATTGATTTAAACAAAAATGGGAAATAAACTTTGGTGGCCAGAATTTGCAAAACTTAATTGTATTCTGCCTACATATAGATCGAATCATTGGAGAAATGAAAGAGCTTGAGTTGTATCATCCTCTGAAAATGACTCTCAATGTTTATCTGTATAAAATATATATATTTAGCAATAATACAATGAAAACTTCAGTATTTCTTTACTATTTTGTGTAAAAATAGGCTTAAATAAAATGCTCCGCAGGGCGCAGCTTGATACGACCGCAGAGGTCGAACCCTGAACAGTTGGGGCAAGTATGGACACAACATTCAAGCTTGATACAGCTTTAAATTTGGATTGTGATTAAATATTTGACACAGCATAGGTTTCTGACACAGAATGAATGTGGTCTAAGAATTTAAAAAATTTAAATTGGACATTCATCTATTATGGTCCAATATCCAAAATCTAAATACATGGTTAGATTCAGCATATCAAAGAACCCCAAGAATTCAATTTTTAATGAAATCAAACAAAGTTTAATTTTGGACCCTTTTGACCTCAATGTGGACAAAGCTGATAATGGGGCCCAAAAATCATAAATCTAAATACATGGTTAGATTCAGCATATCAAAGAACCCCATATATTCAATTTTTGTTGAAATCAAATAAGTTTAATTTTGGACCCCGATTTGGACCAACTTGAAAACTGGGCCCATAATCAAAAATCTAAATACATGTTTAGATTCAGCATATCAAAGAACCCCTAAAAATTCAATTTTTGTTAAAATCAAACTACGTTTAATTTTGGACCCTTTGGACCTTAATGTAGACCAATTTGAAAACGGAACCTAAAATTAAGAATCTAAATACACGGTTAGATTTGGCATATCAAAGAACCCCAATAATTCAATTTTTGATGAAATCAAACAAAGTTTAATTTTGGACCCTTTGGACCTCAATGTGGACCAATTTAAAAACGGGGCCCAAAATCCAAAAACTTAATACACAGTTAGAATCAGCATATTAAAGAACCCCAAGAATTCAAGAATAAAACCCCATTGAAATTGGTCAAGAAATAAGGAATTTATACGAAGTATCTTCTTTTGCACAATACTGTGCAATCCAATATTTCTTGCTATTGCGCAATACTGTACAATTGACAATTTCTTGCTATTGCGCAATATTGTGCTATTGGATATTTCTTGCTATTGCACAATACTGTGCAATTGAAGATGTCTTGCTATTGCGCAATACTGTGCAATTGAAGATTTCTTGCTATTGTGCAATACTGTGCAATTGAAAATTTCTTGCTATTGCACAATACTTATTATATAATAATTTACACATCCTGTTTGGTGTGTATCTCCTACCATATCATTATTATTTGCTTTTAAATATAAAACGGAAATAACCAACTTAAAATGGAAAATTTAAAAAGAAAAAAAAAAGGAAAAAAAGAAAAAAAAGGAAAAAAAAAAAAATCCCCCTCCCCCCAAATTTTTTGAACCCCCTTATGATTCATCACCCCCAAACTCAATCCCAGCCTTCCCTTTGTGGTATGGTACCTTGCAGTACAATTTCAGAGAGATCCATACACTTGAACACAAGTTATTGTCTGGAAACTAGAAAAATGCTTATTTTTGGCCCCTTTTTGGCCCCTTATTCCTAAACGTTTTGGGCAATTACCCCCAAACTCAATTCCAGCTTTCCCTTTGTGATATGGAACCTTGTAGTACAATTTCAGAAAGATCCATACACTTACACACAAGTTATTATCATGAAACTAGAAAAATGCTTGTTTTTTGCCCCTTTTTTGGCCCCTAATTCCTAATATTTTGAGGCAATTACCCCCAAAATCAATCCCAGCATTCCCTGTGTGATATGGAACCTTGTGGTACAATTTCAGAGAGATCCATACACTTGAACACAAGTTATTGTCTGGAAACTAGAAAAAAGCTTATTTTTGGCCCCTTTTTGGCCCCTTATTCCTAAATGTTTAGGACAATTACCTGCAAACTCAATTCCAGCTTTCCCTTTGTGATATGGAACCTTGTAGTACAATTTCAGAAAGATCCATACACTAACACACAAGTTATTGTCATGAAACTAGAAAAATGCTTGTTTTTTGCCCCTTTTTTGGCCCCTAATTCCTAATATTTTGAGGCAATTACCCCCAAAATCAATCCCAGCATTCCCTGTGTGATATGGAACCTTGTGGTACAATTTCAGAGAGATCCATACACTTGAACACAAGTTATTGTCTGGAAACTAGAAAAAAGCTTATTTTTGGCCCCTTTTTGGCCCCTTATTCCTAAATGTTTAGGACAATTACCCGCAAACTCAATTCCAGCTTTCCCTTTGTGATATGGAACCTTGTAGTACAATTTCAGAAAGATCCATACACTAACACACAAGTTATTGTCATGAAACTAGAAAAATGCTTGTGTTTTGCCCCTTTTTTGACCCCTAATTCCTAATATTTTGAGGCAATTAACCCCAAAATCAATCCCAGCATTCCCTGTGTGATATGGAACCTTGTGGTACAATTTCAGAGAGATCCATACACTAACACACAAGTTATTGTCATGAAACTAGAAAAATGCTTGTTTTTTGCCCCTTTTTTGGCCCCTAATTCCTAATATTTTGAGGCAATTACCCCCAAAATCAATCCCAGCATTCCCTGTGTGATATGGAACCTTGTGGTACAATTTCAGAGAGATCCATACACTTGAACACAAGTTATTGTCTGGAAACTAGAAAAAAGCTTATTTTTGGCCCCTTTTTGGCCCCTTATTCCTAAATGTTTAGGACAATTACCCGCAAACTCAATTCCAGCTTTCCCTTTGTGATATGGAACCTTGTAGTACAATTTCAGAAAGATCCATACACTAACACACAAGTTATTGTCATGAAACTAGAAAAATGCTTGTGTTTTGCCCCTTTTTTGACCCCTAATTCCTAATATTTTGAGGCAATTAACCCCAAAATCAATCCCAGCATTCCCTGTGTGATATGGAACCTTGTGGTACAATTTCAGAGAGATCCATACACTAACACACAAGTTATGTCTGGAAGTTACAAAAATGCTTATTTTTGGCCCCTTTTTGGCCCCTTATTCCTTAACTGTTGGTACCAAAACCCCCAAAATCAATCCCAACCTTCCTTTTGTGGTATTGAACCTTACGGTAAAATTTCATAGAGATCCATTCACTTAAACTAAAGTTAGAGTGCGAAAACCAATGTGTCTTCGGACGACATCGACGACGACGCCAACGTCATACCAATATACGACCGCAAAAATTTTTTGCGGTCGTATAAAAATTATACTGCCCAGAATTGCCCAGTATTACCCATTTCTGGGAGTATTGCCTAGTCTGGGAAAACCCGGGTTTTCTCACCCGCATTTTCCAGCCCGAGTAATACTTTGCCAACCCTGAAATAAGGGAACTCTTACCAAAATACGTTTCAAGCTTGACTATTTTGGTGGGAAAAAGACTTGATACAGGATAGTTATATAAGATATTATAGTTACATAGGAGACAAACTTTGATATAAATATAGCAAGAACTTCATGCTAAATGAACTTCAATAACTGGTCATCATTATAAAATATTATTTTTTTAATCTGGAATAATCGGAATTCTAATAAAAAAACCTTCAACAAGTAAAACTGTGAGCAGTCTGATGATACCCCCGCCGAAATATTTGGGTAAACATGAAGTTGTTGAGTGATGAATCTGAAAACGCATCACACGGTGTAACTAACTTATATAAACCCTGAAACCAAATTTCACAGAAATCCTTGTCAAGTAGATCCTGAGAAAAATGTGACGAAAATTTTCAACTTGGCTATCATGTGTAAAATAATACAAGTGTAGGGTAAACAGGAAGTTGTTGAGTGATGAATCTGAAAACGCATCACACAGTGTAACTTACTTATATAAACCCTGAAACCAAATTTCAGAAATCCTTGTCAGGTAGTTCCTGAGAAAAATGTGACAAAAATTTTCAACTTGGCTATCATGTGTAAAATAATACAAGTGTTCGGTAAACAGGAAGTTGTTGAGTGATGAATCTGAAAACGCATCACACGGTGTAACTTACTTATATAAACCCTGATACCAAATTTCAGAAATCCTTGTCAAGTAGTTCCTGAGAAAAATGCGATGAAAATATTCATGGGACGGACGGACTGATGGACTGACAGATGGACTGACGAATGGATGGAGATGGATGGACTGACGGAAGGATAGAGGTAAAACAGTATACCCCCACTTTTTTAAAGCAGGGGTATAATTAAGGCAATAGGGAATAGGATACGGCAACTTACAGATCAGACAACAATACTGGTATCTAAATATCTAAGACATGTCGCTAGTTAGTCAAGGCACCGACACATCTTATTAGTCACCCAACAGTTGGAAATCAAGTCCTTGGAAACGTCCGTTGTCGTAATGCTCTATCAGCAACAATAGCAGGGGGAATTAATTAGGTGGCGCTACAGTCGTCGGTGACGTCAAAAAGTCCGCGAAATAAATCGACTAAAAAATCGACGTTTAAACTATTTTTTACAATTTGTCATGCTTTTCTTATAATTGATTTGTAGATTTTGTGAACAATATAGTTTCAATACGACATTGAAACATTGTCGATAATATAACTTTTATTTGCTTTTACTTTATCCTGTCCGTTCTAAAAATTATCGGCCATCTTTTTTGTTCACCAAAAACATCGAATTCATATAACTTGACGTTTATATAACTTTGACAGCTTGACTTTGCTGGGTTTTTATTTTTGACTGGTGATACCAAGGGGAGATAACCATTGTCACAAATCGGCAAAAAAACCACCATTTCGTGTTGAAAATAACTTGACGTTTGCATATCCAAAACTCTATTGCCTAGATATTCATATCGAGTGTTTGTCCTAATGAGATGCTTTATCAAATTTAAATTAAGCCCATCATTTTTAGTTTCCTCGAAAATATTTAGATTTTTCAATCAAGAGACTTGACAATTTTCACGCAAATTTCAAGTCTGAAGGTAAAATTAAGAAAGAAGGACTTTTAGTTGACGTGTAAGTTTTGTCGAGTGAAAACTTTGTATATTCAAGATTATTTAAATCAATAAGTTTTTATCATGACAGTGGCATTTTATTGAGTAAAAATGAGGTTTGTCTCAGTCGTTGTTTTACAGAATTTTCACGGTCAAGTGACTCTATTGTTGCTGATAGACTTGGGGTCAAACCGTGACCTGCTTTCCAACTGCAATTCGTGATGGTAACCATCAACCTTATATAATGTCAATTTCCATTGTTCTTCTTCATACCTTGGTTGGAGTGGTTTTTGTGTAAAATGTATTACTCTTGAATGAATCCATTTTTTGTACATATTATTTTTCATACCAAATGTATTACTTTTGAGAAGGATATCTAACATGTAAGGAGTTGTTATTTGTTTTTGCTAAAAACTGACAAGAATATTCCTACAAAAAACAAAATTTGGACATAAAAACTATGTTGATCATTGTCATTTTGCTTAGTTTCTTCTGATACTTATTCCAACATCTGACTCAGACTTCTGAGTTTAACTGTGCATATTACTGTATGTTTGTTTATTCCACATTGACTAGAGGTATAGGGAGAGGGTTGAGATCTCTAAAAACATGTTTAACCCTGCCACATTTATGCGCATGTCCCAAGTCAGGAACCTCTAGCCTTTGTTAGTCTTGTGCATTTTTAATTTTAGTTTATTTATGTTTCGAAGTTTAGTGTGGCGTCCATTTCAATGAAATAGTATACATTATTGGTTTGGGGCCAGCTGAAGCCCGCCTCCGGGTGCAAGATTTTCTTGCTGTGTTGAAGACCCATTGGTGGCCTTGAGCTGTTTTCTGCTCTTTGGTTGGGTTGTAACGTTTTAACAGGCCCCAACCTTCACCTTAACCTAAAACAGTAGTGTAAGATTACAACATAGAAAGACACACTATAAAATATCAATTGAAATGGCTTAACTTGATCAAAAAGACATATTAACAAAGACAAGTAAACATACACAGAACGAATAAATTTGATCTATGACACAATATAAATACAATATTAATAAAAAAACGGGATGTAAAACAATGTCAAAAAGACAACTCTAACCTGGGACAAAATTGCTTTAAATAAAATAACGTACACAGGTAAATTTAAATTTAATAATTTTGTTGTTAGGAGTACGGCAATATTTTTTACAAAATAAATAAATTTGTTGTTCATAGTACGAGTACAGTAGTTACTGCATATGTTTCATCAAAAAATTTTAACATGACTAACCCAATGGGTGTGGATATTGTTGGGACCCATCTTGAACAACTGATACCCCTAATTTTTGATGGGTGTTGCTAATTTTTTACTTTTCCTTGTAGTGGTTTTTTTAATTGCTCCTTTTGTATCTTTTTCATTTTTTTTTAATTCTTCATTTTTTTTAACAAGTTCTTCGTTTATTTTTCCATTTTTTTTAAAAGTTCTTATATTTTTATTAATACAACTTACTGTTGTGTTGTTTCCTTAGATTATCCCCCCATATAAACATATGGATTGATGACGGATGTAGATGTTGACAAATTAAAAGCCTTAGTAGATATTCATATTAAAAAATATACTGCTCATCACAATAGCAATCATGTATATTTTGAAATAAAACTAAACAGCAATTATGTTCTACAAACAAAACTTGCAAATTGTTGAAAAAATAATGTTTCATATATAAGTATATTTTCCCTTTTTTCAAATGCTACGATTTTTACCTTTCATTATCAAACTTTCATTTTTTTCAAGACCTTCTGTGAACAGCCGTGATATGATCATTTCAGGACAAATTAAAAATCTTATTTCTTCTTGAACACAACCATGGGTTAAAACTCCACCTCCTAAATATTTGTTGGCAAAATCAACCTGTAAATAATCATACAAAGTTACAGTTACTGTAAAAATACTTCTTGTACAATGTTGATGTAACCTTCCAGCTTACAGAGATCCTTTGAATAAACTTATTCTGAAAGGTTATCGCTTTAACACTGTAGTAAGAACTTTGATTATTGTCTTCCTTGGTACTAAAATAAATTTCGTTTTTTTCTCACTGTTTATGAAGTCTTTAAACTTAACCTTTTGGATGTGTTCTGATTGAAATTTTGTTCTGAGAAAATATGGTTTACTCATTTATTGGATTTGGCTTTGAACTACTGTGGACTCATTATATTCGTGGGATACTAATTTTTGTTGATTTCGAGGGTATAGGTGAACCACCAATTTAAATGTTCAACGAAGAAGGAATTCTCTGTTGGCTTGTATGTAGTCTTTAGCAAAACCATGAAATCAAATATCCACGAAAATACGATTTTTCCCCAATCCATAAAAATTGGTACCAACGAAAATAAATGAACCCGCAGTAGTTTTTAGTTATCTTAGATTGGTACCTTGTGTTTTTTGTCTATAACATTTTGTCATGCCTTGGACTTTTATAGCTTATTATACAGTATAGTTTTGCTCATTGTTGAAGGCCGTACATTGTCTGATCATTGTTTACATCCTTGTTTGCCGGATAGTTGTCTCATTGGCAAATCTCTTTATTTTTATTTTTGAGCTCTGTAATCAGTGTATTTGTTTTTAACAATTCTTCCTTTTTCATAGAAAACATTTTTGTTGCAAAAAAAAATATTCTGTATGCAAAAATCTGAAAGTGCACAATTAAATGTGCCATAAAAAGTAATTTAAGAATATGGTTTTTTTTTGTAAAATAATTTCATTTTTTGTTCATTGCCACAACAGTTGAGTGGGAAACATAGAAATATTAGCGTCCATCACTTCTTGAAAGCATGTTTACACATTTATTTCTTTTAACATTGTTATGAAATCTATATCAAAGCCTTAATCAGCAATGTCTAGGATAAAATATCAACAATGTTTTAAGAAAGTTTCAAAATCAACACTGATCAACTACTTGCATCCGAAGTGTTTTTTGTGCCTACATTTCTTGTCAGATTGTATGAAACTAATATGAAAAGTTTATATCAGTAATTTCTGAGAGGTGTTAAAATATAAAAATTGATCAACTACTTTTACAGGAGTTATATCCCTGCTGTCATATTAATTACCGGTATATGGAAAATTGCATAGTTAGGGCTCTCTTGGCTACATTTCTTGCCAGATTTTATGAGATTAATATGAAAGGTTTATATCAGCCATGTCTCTAATGTGTTCAATCAGTACCAATCAACTATTTACATGCTATTTGGAAATTTATCATATAGAGATATTCTTTGTAAGCAATCTAATGACTACATTTCTTGTCAGACTTTTGTCAAATTATGTCAGAGATTTATTTTAGCAATTTTCAGAAGAGTTCCATAATCAACACCAACCATTTTTTCAGGAGTTATACCCTTGGAAATTATGTTCAAACTGCATTGTAAGTGCTCTCACACCTACATTTCTTGTCAGTTTTAGTAGAGCAGTGCCAATCAACTATTTAAGTTTGAAAAGTTTAAAGGAGCTAATGTAAAATTAATTTTCAAGTTATTGTCCTTAAACAGATAAAATATGTTCGGCAAAGGGGACATAGTAACACTGCTCTTTAATTTATCTGGAATCTAGAACACATATTACCTGTAAAAGTCCTTCCCCATCATCTTCTATGGTGCCTTCAGCAGATACATGTAAGTCTCTCAGTGTTGTATCTAAGTTGTCCCATTTAGGGAAATCAATAAGACCTACATGTTGGCGGGTAAATGTGACAAGTCCTGTAGGCACTGCAAGAATAAATAAAACAAAACTATTTATAATTCTTCTTAATTGTAAAGTTAAGTCATCTCTTTTAAAAGTTTTATAGACACTGTCATGATTTGGTTGACCTTTATTTACGGAACATCTGTGTAACAGATTACTACGGATATGTTCCACTTTGCCTAACCATAATTTTGTATTCTTTTCCTAGATTGTGACAACATTGAATGCTTCTTATTCCCAGATATTTACATGCCTTGAGGAACATGATGGGTGTCATTATTGGAGCAGAAATTGCTTATCCTTCCTGCTGCTCCATCTTTGTTTTTTTGTGTGGTGTGTTGTCTACATATTTTTTTTCTTTTGGCAAAGCTGCTGTCTGCTTATCTTGTCCCCCTTTTTTAGAAAAATATAATGAACAGAAAATAGTAAATATATTTTGATAAATTAAAATCAAATACACTGATCACGGACCTCAAAATGTTTTTCACCATAATTCAGTGCAAAAGGTTTGGAAAGTCACAGATTCAAATAAATTAAAACCTACATTTAAAATGATCTTAAAGAGTAGCCAAAATCATAAATATGTCAGAGGATTTCAATAATTTTTCGATCTTAAAAAAAAACACCAATTAATATATCTAGAACTACTTACTCTTTTTGGTGACTCTTGAAAAGTACTGAATGATACATTTTAATTTTTCCAATTTTACACAATTGGGCGTTCCATCATATAAACTGTAAAGAAAAAAGTTATTTTAAGAATTTATGTTACATAAAAATAAGGAGGTGTGGTGTGATTACCAATGAGACATCTCTTACATGTTATTATCAAACTTTTTACTAATCTGTCTTTGTCTCCTTAAAGTTAACATAAACTGTATATTAAAGTATGAATGGCAACTTTAAGATCTGTTTATGATAAAATATTTCTTTTACTATTTACTATAAGGAATAACCATGGAATAAAAATTATATTGTAGTTGTTTCTTTTATAAAGCAATTTTGTTCTTGATGAAAGGTGACAACGACTAAACTTTATTTAAAAAAAAAGAAGAAAAAAGACATAGCACATAAGTAAAGGGTTACCTTGAACCCAAATGTCTTGCCAGTCATTGCTGATGTCAGTGTAAAAGTGTAATGGTGACTCCAAAAACTTAGTCCATTTATGATTCAAATACAGAAAGATAAACATAAAACATTGACGCATCTGAAGTCTCTGATAAGTTTTTAAAAATACATGCCTACCTGTGCTCCTCTATTACCCTGACAGAATGCCAGGGGAAGCCTACACTTTTTTAATTGTGGCCTTTTTTTGTTTGCAATGGTTATTTCATTTGCTTGCTGATTCATACTTGAATTTTTCACTATTCTCAATGAGAAATATATTTCAATATTGTATGGAAAACTAAAAACCTCTCACAAAAATTTCTCTACTTTCAGAATGAATGATGTTTAAATAGTTCTCTTAGAATTTCAGGTTGACGACCTGAAAAGATTGTTCTTACTTACCTATTAAAATTAATACTCGGATAATTAAAGAATTCTGAACTTTTCCCTTTAGCATTTCTACGTGGATATGTACAAAAGAAGGCATTAGCTAATAAACAGGCTATCTGCTGTTGGCTTAGTGTTATACTCCTTGTCTTCCCTTTCTTCAATAATGGAATGGGCTAAAATTGTAATACAAATGTTTTGGAAAATTCCTTGATATCAATAAAAGGAGATATGTGGTAAACATCAATGAGTTAGCAATCAAACAATGTAAGTATGGGTTAGAGTAATTTTCTGCATTTTAGGGTATTGTTAATAACAGTGAACAAAGCATTTGCATACAGTACAGGTCTCCAAAACAACCAGTCTCTATACTTAATGGCATCAAACATCATAGGTCAAATGGAGACGTGAACAACAACTAAACAACAATATAGTCTTCAATATTAGAAAATATACATAGTATCTCAATTTCTAATTGTCTGAACTTTGAACGATTTGTCTTGACTAAGCATTGATAAGAAAGTGAGTTTACCACATCTTTTTCAATTTAATCAAATAGGTTTTTGTTCAGAGAATTTCTTCAAGTTTATCATCCTCACTAAAGTTGTAACGAGTAATTATCAAATACGTCTAATATTGGCAATAATACAATGTAATTTCAATAGATTTCAAAACTTTTATTAATATATGTATAACTCTCCCTCCATGTATTTGATAGTAGCTATATATATATATATATATAGTCATCTGCTATAAATCTATCATGCTGGATGCTTTTTTTTACTTATTAATACTAAATCAATAATTTTACCTGAGTACATAAATGAGGCAAATTGAGTGCTAACTTTGCAATTTTTGGTAGAACTTCACCGAAAAAATGATTTCTTTCACTTTGTGTAAGGTCCTGAAAAATAAGTAATAGACTTGTCATACACCAAATGATTTCATAGTGATGAATCATTTAATATTTAAATAATGTCAAAAATTTTATTTTTACATTTTTATCTTGTGATTCTGAGCTATATTCCTTCAATACAGTAAACATGGAAAACAATTTACAATTTCAGATGAGCCATAATTCATGTTGTAAAGACCTGACAAATGATGTTATAAAAATTTTGATTTATTAAATAAACAAAAACAATTACTTTGTACTTTTATTTCATGATAACTCAATTTATAAACTATTTCCAACATGAATCAACAAACTATTTTATGTAAAACAAATATCAAAAATCTTGCTGACCTACAAATTTGCATTTTCAAAAATAATTTTACCTTATTCAAATTTGCTTGTCAGCTTTTAGAACTTTTTGGACAATTTTGATGTCAAATAAGGTTATAAAATGCACTAAATATTTAAACAAGAGTGCACACAGTGAAATGTCTTGCCTGCTGTATAGACCATGATTGATTTAATGTTGAAAGTCTTAAAGATAAAGGTTTTACTGCAAGTATCACATAAGCTTAACGTTATCAATGATCAATGACAATAAGGTCAAGGTCAGGTAAACCCTAAATTCATTCCATACACCAAACATAGTTAACCTATTACATATAGTATCTAACCATTTCCCCCAAAAAAATCTATTTATAGTAAATTTGACCTCAAATTTAGATTTCTTCCCCTTCTCTTTGGCTTCCTTCTGAAAAGTTTTATTCCAACCAAGCAAAAATCAAGTGACCATTAGGAAACCATATGTTTTGGACACACAGATGAACCAAAGGACCGACCAACACAGCAACAATTTTTCCAGAAGCATAATGAATAATATCTTATAAATGTTAGATGAACTGTTGACACAGAGATATGTCTTGCCTTTTTGTTATTTTGGTAGTATAATGCAAATATTAAATCCAAATGGCAATATTTAAACATGCAAACTATGCAAAACATTCAATGAACCATGACTAATGTACAGGACCAAATAACCTCTATGGAAATGAGAAATGCCAATGCTTATAAAACTGCATACCAAATACCATTATTTTATCATAAGTGGTGCCCTTAACACTAACCAAAACACAAACTTTCAAATTGTAAACAATGTAAAAGTTTCAAGGTCAATTAACCATGATGAGGGAATGGGGACATATAATTTCCATGGAGAAAAGAATTGCACATACTAATATAACTGCATACTGAAAATCATTGACTTAACATTAGTGGTTCCTCTTAAACTGATCTTATCACAAACTTTAACAAGTGAACTATGCAAAATATTCAAAGTCAATAGACCATGACTGAGAGGGCAGAGCCAAATAATCTCTATGTAAATGAGATGTGCCAATGCTAATGCATCTACAAACCAAATACCATTGACCTACCACTAGTAGTCCCCCTTAAACTGACCTAATCACAAATTAATACATATAAACTAAGCAAAAGTTTCAAAGTCAATAGATTATGACTGTGGAGGCGGGGCCAAATAATCTCCATGGAAATGAGATGTGCCAATGCTAATACAATTGCATATCAAATAGCATTGACCTAACAACAGTGGTTCCCCACAAACTGACCTAATCACAGACTTGTACATTGTTTACGCCGTTGACTACGCTGCCGAAGTCGGAAACAGCATACATAAGTCTCACTTTTTGACTCCCGTCAAGGCGAGACAAAAATTACCACATACATGTTATGTATTAATAGAGGTTTAAAAAGAAGTTAATAGCCGAATATTTGGCATGAGTCATAAAATAACCTTGCAAACATCAATGTCATTTGGACTCTCATGGATAGTTTCATTGGCAATCACAACACAACTCCTAATATATAAATTATAAAGATTATGATTACAAAATGTAATAGTAACATTGGAAAAACCTTCAAAATTTTAAACAGCTTGAATTTTTCTGGTGGCATCATGTATGTCTGTAGAAACAGTACATTTTTTATACCTTATTAATAACATTACAGTTCTTTTCACATTTAACCTTAAACATATTGTTGAACAAACAGTATATATTTTCTTTACCTCTGTAAAAAGACACTTCAATGTCTCAAAATTCCACTTGCCAAAATACCGTGAATTGTATTTCAGTATTATGTCCTACAATAAATAAGATAACTGAATGGTAAACATAAATGCAAACAGATTAATGTAAAGAGTGATTTATATAAAATAACATGGTCATTTTTGTGTTCAGTGTACAATAAGTATGGGTATTGCTCATTGTTGATGGCCTGACAGTGACCTATAGTTCATTAGTTGCTAACTTCTACGTCATTTGGTCTCTAGTGTAGATTTGTCTCATCAGGAAAATGTAATGTCAACAATTCACTGAATTTCATTGCATTTCTTTATCAACCAAAACTATTTTGACAAATAATATGACATGCATATTAAAATTAAGTTGCAAGTATAATCAAAGTTAGCACTCTTATATCTAAGAATGTCAGACACCCATTTCTTCTACATAAGACTCATCAGGGGCATTTGAATCAAAACAGATTGAGTACCAAATCAATTACTAAGTTGTAAAATTTCTAAAAGTTGTGGCTAAGGCCACTTTCCCATGACTGCATCCAAGATATTTCACATCAGCGCTGGATAGTTGACTACTATGCTTCAGAGAGTTTTGGAAATGCAACACTTATAACATTGTCCTTTAAAAATGTTAATCAAAACACAGGTATTGTAGTTACATAAATACCTCTAACTCATATGGACCTGGTATTTTACTTAGAAGTGCCTCTTCTATAATCTCCCACCTCTTCCTCAATATCTGTTTATTATTCTGAAATTAATTTATATATAAATTTATATATTTTTCATGTTTTTTAACCACTTTTGATCATATAACAAATTGCAAAAATTTAACTCAAAAGAAAAAAAAGATATGCATTTACCTTAAAGAGCATAAAAAATTCATTTCGGGTGATAGTGTTTGTTCAAATGTATTTAAAATGAAAACACACTGAATTATCAGCTAGCAGTTGGAAAAAAATAAATGATCAAACTATGTGTTTTCAATGTTTAGATTTAAACTTTCACTATAGACTGACATACCTTGCCTTGGAAAGGATATTCATTCTGTGGAGAACATGGCATTTTCACATGGTCATTATTCCAACCGTCTTTATACTGTGCAGGATGAGGCGTTGGTGGTGTCTTTGGATCATACTTATACTATTTAATTAAATGTTACAATTAATTATCAGTCAAGGGTGTAACTTGAATAAGTTATTAGAGAAAAATAACATACATGTGTTATTACGGATACTTTCTCTTAATCTGTAGTAACATATGTTTGTTATCAGTTAAATGTACCATAAAATATTTTATTTTCAGTGGGCACTTGGGAATTCTTGAAACTTGCGCAGTAACTTAATACATAACCTTGAAAACTAATTTTCCAATTCAAATAATACATTTTTGATCAACCATGGTAAATCAATGAGACAAGGCTTTTAAGTGATAACTTAGCAGTAATAACAAGGCTTAGTTATTACAGGCATTTAACTTATTACATGAGACGCTTGGGAATGACTAGGAAGCTTGTGCAGAACCTCATTACATGCCCTTATCATTATTTATTACAATAAATTAAAATACATTGTGATATATGTAGGAGAAAAGGCTTTGAAGAGATGTAGAGAAGCTATAATAACACCCTTTAGTTATTACAGGCATATTTTTTCTGTAATAACATGGGTGTGTTATGCATGATTGGAAAACTATGGGCTGTTATATCTTTCTAAAGTTTAATATACATAAAGACAATTATAATATCATTAGAACTAGTACACAATTAAACAAAATAAAGGATGTATAATGCCCCTTTGAAACATGTAACATACATATGTTATCACAGATTTTTGATTTTTTTAGCCCTCAATAACAAATGTATGTTATTTTTCTCTAATAACTTATTTAAGTTAGATCCTTGACTGATTATGGGTTCTTTAAGTTTTATGATTGTATAAATTGCTTATATAAAACTGTAGTGTTAATTTTTGTGATGTTTTATTATTGCAAAAATAAATGAGACTGATTTCTACATCTAAATTTAATCTAATTGCTTGTAAGCATTGAAGGGTAAAGATTGCATTTATTTTGTAGTAGGAACTAAAAATAAAACAAGCATTGGAAGACAATGCTATGTATTGGTTCAACAACAATTATAAACAAAGGAAGATAACTCTTAATTTTGAATATTACTTTAACAATACATCTGTGCACCATGCACAATTTTTGTAATTTTATAGACAAGTAAGGCTATAAACTTGAACATATGATATATCATTGGCAAATTTCTTGAAACGTTCATGGATAGGATGTAACGAATGTTGTGCTCCATGCACTATATTTTTTTTCTCAAAAGTAGTGATATAAAGTCTGGAAAATTGATAAACTACAGGGGTTAAAAAATTTTGTTACAGCTCCCTAGTCCAGGACTTATTGGTAGCAGGATTTACTAGTCCTGTTGACAGAACTGCTAGCCCAGCAAATCAAACCTGATACCCCGGACTTCCAACAAATGTTTGAGTCAGCTGGATATTTTTTTCTGATTCAAATTTCAATCCTGAAAGACTTAGTCACAAAGGCAATCATTGTTAAAATGTTGGCATCATCACAATGCCTGAATAATTGACATTAAAACAATACTAAACTTCAGAAGACTTTTGATATAATTTTATGTTCTGACGTAAACTGTTAAATTGACAGTCCACATACGAAATGTTAAAAATTAGTGAACTTAAATCTGCCTTAAACTCTTTATTAATGCAATATCACGCTGCCAGAACTGTACTTTCTTTTTTCAAAAAGCATTTTTCCTATTACCGGATGTTGACTTGTCAAAGGTAAAACACGGACCAAAGATGGACACAAAACTCTGTGTACGCTGTGAAAGTTGTCTATTCAGTTTATGTAGTTCTTTCCACATTATTTCTTCTTGAAAATACTTGAAATGAACGTTTAGAAGAATTTTTGAAGAATTCAGATGCAAAATTAAATCTCGCACCTGCGCACATGCCCAAACGTGTATCAGTTTCAACAACGTGGTTCTGTCAAATTTTCATTTCACTTTTTTTTTAATTTTTTTTTTTAATTGTTCATTAATTTAGAATATTATGTTAATATGTATTTCTGAAAGGCTAAATCATTCTTACAAGTAACAGTTCACATCAATCAATGCATCATACGGTATTACCTCCAGTACCTTTAATTGAAAGTCTCGGCCTGAGCAATGTACAATACGCTAAGTACGGAGAAATCGATAATGAAAGTACAGAAATTGCAATCAATACATGATACCGGTCCACCCATTTGTTCTATTTTCAAAACATACAAATTCTTGGAATTCTGAATGACGTAATTGAATTTGATTGGCTAAGATAGAATAGAGATGAAGGGATTTTCCACTTTGTATTTTGGATACGCCAGGAATTTTTTGTTACTAGTCCGTCGGGCATATTTGGTTACAAGTTTTGATTGCCCGAGGTGTAAATGCTCTAGTCCCGGGTGTCGGGCTAGTGGATTTCTTAACTCCTGAACTATGAAGCCAGCCACATAACGGTTATGACTGCATGAACACAATCTTTACTCCAAAAACAAATAATACACTTGCAAGAAAATTTATAACTTTGACTGAATAATACAGCATCCACTTTAATGTATACATTTCTAGTCCATGTAATTTGTATTAATTTTGTATAAGTTGCACAATTGGTAGGGTTCATGTTGTTGCTCATTTAGTTTTAATGTAGTGTATGAAGACTGCTGTTGGTCTTTTTTGGTATCATTTTTTGGCCATGGTGTTCTGTTGTTACTAATATGTTGTATTGCCTCATGACATTTTCTTTCTCTTTTAAACGATTTAAAGGGGAAATTTATTCATTGCTTATCTAAACGAAATTCTATGAACTAAGTGAGCCAAAAGTCAGAAAAGGCTGGAGAAATGTTGAATTAATTACAATACCATAAAATTGAGAATCGAAACGGGGAATGCGTACCAGACTACAAATAAAATATTTATAATTTCCGACTATGGATTAATTGTTGGTGTTTAAGGTGATTTTCCACATTCTTTGCTTTTTCATGGGGCAAGTTTTTATTGGTGGAGGCCTGAGCCCACAGAGAGAAACCACAACCTTCTGTAGGAAAACTAGTCAATTAAGAACTGAATCAAACACACATTGCCACATGCAGGGTTAGAACTCAAAACCTTTAGTATTGACAGGCTATTGATTACTGTAGATAAAATATCTAAAAGCTACCGAGGCCCCTCTGACTCAGGATTAGTGCTAACTGTAATTTGTATGCCGCAATTAAGGGTGAATTTTACTTTCGTGATATTTTAAGAAATTTTTTAATGCAGTTTGAATCTCTCAAAGACTAATTCTGTACTAATTAATTTTAAATACTGTATTGAAGGTTCTTACCGGAACTTTAATAAGAACTGTATGATTTTCTGTTGAATGCAAAGCTGGTAATTTTTCCATGCAGTCAGGTATTTTATTCAGTCTATTTAAAGGTTTTCCCTGGAATATACAACATAAGATATTGGTCACTTCAAAGAAAAATAATTATCTTACATGTATGTTTCATTATAATACGTTATTTTGATTGGCTAACAGAAATCTAGCGTCAGTCTGAAATTAACCTTCATTTCAAAATGAAATGTAACATTCATGATGACACGAGCTTCCACAATAAAGTGCACAGGTAAATAAAAGAAAAACTTGATAGAAATTGTGTTTTCATGATCCTAGCAAATAAATGTAATTATAAGTATTGAATGCTTCTTTTAGTAATTTTATAGGGTTGTAAAAGCACATTTTTAGAATGAAGCGTACTTCAGTCAATGCTTTTACACCCCAATAAATTTACAAAAAGAAGCATTTAATTCTTCATTAAATCATATCAATACTTATCCATTAGCTATGTCTAATGTGTATATAACAACTTATATATCTATGAATTACAAAGATTATAAATCTTTCTTCTATTAAATATTAAAAAATTTACAAATTATATATTTGTGGAAAATAAAAATATTTGAATAAAAAATTTCCTCTGACAAAAAGGGTTGGGATCAATCTATTTACCTTCCAATCAGAATTAGCTTTTCTCTGACTTGGTTTCTTGGTTGGTATGTCTGGTTTTACACTATCTCCATCTTGAGAACCTTGAGAGTCTGCTACATCAGAACTATTGAAATGAATCATGAAATCAAATTTACTCAAGTACTTCATTGGCTACATTTAATGAATACAAATATTTTTCCTGTAAGTTCCAATGAAAATATGACAAGTGACACCAAATAATTTCCATGAATCACATATGCACTTGTTATAGTTAATATCTTCATCACTTGTATTCTTTATATTGTTTTTAAAAAAACAGAGAAGAACCTGCATTTACATAATAATAATGTAAATCAATATTCACATTTCATTTGTACTGGTATTTGTCATCTGATTTTGTTATTATTGCAAATATTTTGTTATTCTGATCTTATTTGTGTTTACTAGGCCTTACTATAAAATAAATTGTAGATCTACCACAGTTCTGGCAATGATTAATCTTTGTAAAAGTTTTAAAAATATGAGTTGCCTCCCTTATTATTTACTGTATATGCAGACATTTTTGCTATGTTTTTATTATTGCAATAATTGCAACAGGATAAAATAAAAATTTGAGTTTTAAATTTTGATAAATTATTTAAATGTAGCATTTCCTGAAATCATAATAATCAATAACACATTTTTTGTTACCATCTTGAGCAATAATAATCGCATGTGCAATAATTTCTTATTTACAGTATTTCTACATTATTTCTTACTCCATATTGTATTCCATTGTTTCATCATATTTGAAAGTGTCTCCAAAACTTGACTTCAAAATCTTGTCTGCTGCAATATAATCAAAGTTAATTGCTCAGATAAAGTAAGTTGTATCTATTCAGTGAACACAATCATTTGTAGCTGATTTCATTTCACCAATGTTATTTTTTATTTATGACATGTATTGAAACATTTAAAAGGGATGTGGGGTAACCTTCAATGAGATAGTAACTTTTTCATGTAAACTGCTGTAAAAAATGCAATCAAAATAACTTGCAACTGCATATCAAGCTTTTGTGCAAAATATTTAAATTAATATTTGTTTTCACATCACATGGATGCAATACACATCCAGAATATATCATTTCTTCTTGGAGAGATGCACTATTAAAAATCCTCTAGCAGTACTGCAGAGTTTTTTGGGTTTTTTATTCATATATTGTCAACATGGATTGTTGCTGTCAATCTTACATTTTTTACATCTTTTTATAATCTGAGAAGTAAGGATGTTACAAAACAGTATATCAAATATGAGAAAGCTTTCATACAGTTAATTCTATTAGTACAAGCCTGAGCAAGAAAACAAAAATCTGAATAATGTAACAATTTCAATATCAATGAAGACTGACTGATAAGTATTATCAAGGGCCTTGAATCTGCATAAAACAGATATACATGAGCTATTGCAACATCTCAAGAAATGTCCACTACTGGTCGACACTGGATTTCTGCCTAACAAGACCAAATGAAAACTTATAATTGTTGACGACTTTAATGAGATATATAAAAATAAATAATAAAATTGTCCCAAATTCGAGAATACAAAACATCAAAATTCTGGTATGCATAAGATAATTTATTGAGATTATCAGCATTTTCCCCACTTATATTTCACATTTTTTTTAATGACGCACATTAAGTCAAAAAAAAAACTTACTTTTTTCGGTAAAAGTTTTGGCTGCTTGAGCTCCTTTCCCATCAAATGATGCACCAAGCCCTTGTGTAGAAATGTCATTTAAAACTTTTTTCACAGGATTTACTGCTGGTCTACAAAGGAATAAAAGCAGGTCTCTGTATCATTATTTTTAATAAATTAACAGTTTATTATTATTTCTAGCAGAAAAGATTACATGGTCACTGCATATGCATATTTGAACAACACACTTATAATATTATAAGGCTGATTATCTAAGAAAAATTAACAAAACAGAAAAGATTTATTTTTTTCAAAAGTATACATAAAAATTTGTCAAGGAGAAAAAATAATTTCATATAGTGCACAACCTCTCATTCTACCTGTTTCCAAGCCTCATACAAATATATTTTATATCGAGAAAACGAACGATTCTCTATATTTGCATATGTGTACATAAACCTATAAATATGATGAATCTCTTTATGTGACTAATCATGGTTGTGGTCTTACATCAGGTATTGTCATTTGGTCAGCTGTTGAATTTATCACTCATCACAACTCTTTCTCTGCAAACAACTTTATCCTTTTATTTGCAAATGAATGTAACAAATGTAAAAATTTAATGCAATACTTATATATAAAGCCATATATAACACAGCACTTTTAACCCTGTCTTTATTTGCAAAGACCGCCAAAATATCCTGAAACCATAATAAGATCATTTATGTTAGTGAAAAGTGGAAAATGTGAACAGCGAAACTTTTAAAGCAATGATCAGTTGATCAGTGAGATATCTAGAGCGAAGTACCATTCATTTTATTTTTCACATAATGTCAACTACTGTAAATTCAGAAATTATTGCCATGTTTTATCGAAAGATGCAGTTAAGTTTGCAATAATAATAAAATGCTCCACAAGGCTTGATACGACCGCAGAGGTCGAACCCTGAACAGTTGGGGCAAGTATGGACACAACATTCAAGCTTGATACAGCTTTGCATTTGGATTGTGATTAAATATTTGACACAGCATAGGTTTCTGACACAGAATGAATGTGGTCTAAGAACTTAAAAATTTTAAATTGGACATTCACCTATTATGGTCCAATATCCAAAATCTAAATACATGGTTAGATTCAGCATATCAAAGAACCCCAAGAATTCAATTTTTGATGAAATCAAACAAAGTTTAATTTTGGACCCTTTTGACCTCAATGTGGACAAAGTTGATAACGGGGCCCAAAAATCAAAAATCTAAATACATGGTTAGATTCAGCATATCAAAGAACCCCATATATTCAATTTTTGTTGAAATCAAACAAAGTTTAATTTTGGACCCCGATTTGGACCAACTTGAAAACTGGGCCCATAATCAAAAATCTAAATACATGTTTAGATTCAGCATATCAAAAAACCCTAAGAATTCAATTTTTGTTAAAATCAAACTAAGTTTAATTTTGGACCCTTTGGACCTTAATGTAGACCAATTTGAAAACGGAACCAAAAATTAAGAATCTAAATACACGGTTAGATTCGGCATATCAAAGAACCCCAATAATTCAATTTTTGATGAAATCAAACAAAGTTTAATTTTGGACCCTTTGGACCTCAATGTGGACCAATTTAAAAACGGGGCCCAAAATCCAAAACTAAATACACGGTTAGATTCAGCATATTAAAGAACCCCAAGAATTCAAGAATAAAACCCCATTGAAATTGGTCAAGAAATAAGCAATTTATAAGAAGTATCTTCTTTTGCACAATACTGTGCAATTAAATATTTCTTGCTATTGCGCAATACTGTACAATTGACAATTTCTTGCTATTGCGCAATATTGTGCTATTGGATATTTCTTGCTATTGCGCAATACTGTGCAATTGAAGATTTCTTGCTATTGCGCAATACTGTGCAATTGAAGATTTCTTGCTATTGTGCAATACTGTGCAATGACAATTTCTTGCTATTGCACAATACTTATTATATAATAATTTACACATCCTGTTTGTTGTGTATCTCCTACCATATCATTATTATCTGCTTTTAAATATAAATCAGAAATAACCAACTTAAAATGGAAAATTTTAAAAGAAAAAAAAAAGGAAAAAAAGAGAAAAAAGGACCCCCCCCCCAAATTTTTTGAACCCCCTTATGATTCATCACCCCCAAACTCAATCCCAGCCTTCCCTTTGTGGTATGGTACCTTGCAGTACAATTTCAGAGAGATCCATACACTTGAACACAAGTTATTGTCTGGAAACTAGAAAAAATGTGTTTTTTGGCCCCTTTTTGGCCTCAAATTCCTAAACGTTTAGGGAAATTACCCCCAAATTCAAACCCAGCTTTCCCTTTGTGATATGGAACCTTGTAGTACAATTTCAGAAAGATCCATACACTTACACACAAGTTATTGTCTGGAAACTAGAAAAATGCTTGTTTTTTGCCCCTTTTTGGCCCCTAATTCCTAAACGTTTCGGCAATTACCCCCAAACTCAATTCCAGTTTTCCCTTTGTGATATGGAACCTTGTAGTACAATTTCAGAAAGATCCATACACTTACACACAAGTTATTGTCATGAAACTAGAAAAATGCTTGTTTTTTGCCCCTTTTTTGGCCCATAATTCCTAAAATTTTGAGGCAATTACCCCCAAAATCAACCCCAGCATTCCTTTTGTGATATGGAACCTTGTGGTACAATGTCAGAGAGATCCATACACTAACACACAAGTTATGTCTGGAAGTTACAAAAATGCTTATTTTTGGCCCCTTTTTGGCCCCTAATTCCTTCACTGTTGGTACCATAACCCCCAAAATCAATCCCAACCTTCCTTTTGTGGTATTGAACCTTGTGGTAAAATTTCATAGAGATCCATTCACTTAAACTAAAGTTAGAGTGCGAAAACCAATGTGTCTTCGGACGACGACGACGACGCCAACGTCATACCAATATACGACCACAAAAATTTTTTTGCGGTCGTATAAAAACTTGTATTCATACTCTCAGTAGTAATTTTCATTCATAAAATTTTTGCAATAGCATTAATTGCATTTCATATTTTTTCCAATGGTCAAGGATTCACAATAATAAATGCACACATGTACATAAGCTTCTGAATTTCCAGTATTTCTAATTTGATACAGAAGCATCTTAATTGTTTGAGTCAAACAGATTCATTATGTAACTTTAACTTTACTTCAACATTACATCCTATGCTTTTTTTTATCTTCCACTACTTTTATTGTTTGAACACTTCTGCAAAAATCTATTAGAAATTGACAATTTGGTGGATAGATGAATGCTATAATTATAAATATAATTACTTTGAGCTTTTTCCAGGTTTAGATTCAGCCATTTCTACATCAATAATTTCCACCTTTTTGTCTTTTACTGGTTCATCTAAAAAAAAGTAAAACAATAAAAAAAAAATAATAATCATGCTAACCTTCATAAATATCAACCTAGCATATATACATGTATCTGTATTGCAAAGTTAGTTATTACTTATGTCCATATACTTACAGTGTACTTTTCTTGTTTATCAATTTTGATTATTTATTTTAAGACTGATAGCTGATATTTTTAATACAGCCATGACATTTCAGGATTCAGAAGTGCTTTTCTAAATTTAATTTCATCAAGTATGCAACAACAAGAACATTTGTAAGCCAAGGATGTATAAGACCTAAATATGTGAAGAGCTCCATGTTTATGACCTTAAGGGACATAGAAAAATAGCCAAATTCATCTAAGTTTAATTTTTGAACTTTAGTTTCTTAATAATTTTTAAAAGCTCTGTTTAAGCACTTATTTTTCAAATCACTTTAATAAGTTCATATTTTGTTTGTTTGTTATATTGTAATATCATATTGACATATTACAGACTTGCACGAGTTTGAAGAATATATATTGACCTCCAGCTATTGATGCCTTTTGGTTTATGTACCAAAGGGTTGCTGTCTCATTGACATTTATTTGTTATTTGAAAACATTAATATTGCAAAATCATGGTAATTTGTACTTGACATTTCATATAGAAATATAATTTTAAATTCTATAATTGTATGTACATGTATCAGAAATATACACATGACTTAACAGGATAAATAATGAAAATCCCTGATTCAGTAGGATTGTTTCCTATTATTTTTTTAAATACATACTACATGTACAAGTTCATCAATATAAACCCACTCAATAATTCAGTTTTGACCCATCATGATAAAAAGAGTTTGGATGCAGGATATCAATACAGCAATTTTATATTTCAAAGGTATGATTACTCTTTTATTTTGTTTGGTAACTTTCCTTTTGATTTTTTTTTTTTTAAATCTTGTATTCTATCAGTTTTTTAGTTATATTTTCAATGTTTTAACCTTAAACTCATCATCTTTACATGATGCATGAGCATAGAGTGGACAAAACTTCTAAATGGTCCCCTGTAACCACCCTAAAAATTGGAAATACCAGTTATCCTTCATCATATAAGAAAAACAGATTAAGCTTTTGTATTTTAAGTTTTCACAAAATCTGAGGTAAAACTTTTACAGGAAGAAGAGGGTTTGCTCATTGGAGCAGGTGGAAATGACAAACTTCGCCTTAGCTGTCTGATGTGTACTTACCATTATTTGATTTGGTTTTCTTTCTAAAAAAATCTAATAGGGTTCTTTTCTTTTTCAAAGGGGGTTCACTCATTCTATAAACAACTTTGCCCTAAAATAAAATATAAATGTTTAATGAAACAATCAAAATAGAGGTGCATATTTATATAAAACATAAGATAAAATTCCTAATTCACATGAAAACATTGCAAAGGGTTCCTTTGAACCCAGTGTCCCGACTTCGATTTCTGCTGTCAGTGTAAAAATGTAATGTTCACTGCCAAAAGCTTAGTCCATTTATAAGTAAAAAAAAAGATTTTTTTTTTTAAATCTAATATTTTCTTCAGATGCTATTTGAGCTGCGTTGGATAGAAATAAAGACATTATGCAAGTGCATATACATTGTATACCTGTACATGTATAAGACTTTATTTGATTTTGGAACATTCAAATACCAAATAAAAGATAAATTTTAGTCTGTTTTGTAAGGTTCTTATATCAACTTAATTTTCTAACAGTTACTTTGCATAGAAATTCTTTAATCTGAAAAAGGTTAACAGATGTGTTGATATCCATTTGCATAAGGTAGATTTCTATCCGACGCAGCTCATTTCTTTTATCTTGAAAAAGCTTCTGTCCAAGTTTCATAATACATTGTATTCCATGAAGGATTAACAAAGTTATATTTGATGTCTAAAAATTTAATCCCAGACAGAATGTAAATGTTAAATGCATATAAAATTGATGTTGACACAGAGATATGTCTTGCCTTTATATAATTTTTATAGCTGAAATTAAAGTGGCAGTACTTTTAACATGTTAACTATGCAACACGTTCAAAGTCAATAAACTATGTATGAGGGTGCATGTTTAAAAAATCATATTACCTCTGTGGAAATGAGAACTCACAATGCAATTGACAATACACCTGCATACCAAATACATGTACCATATCATAGGTGGGTCCCTATAAACTGACCAAAAGAACAAACTTTAACCTGTAAACAATGCAAAATTTTCAAAGTCATTGAACCATGAGGAGGTGGAAGATCATTGTATCCATGGACATTAGACATGCAAATGCTGTATAGAACTGCATACCAAATATCATTGACCAACCACTGGTGGTTCCCATAAACTGTCCTGATCACACCCTTATACATGTACATGTAAACTATAATACATCTGTATATGCAAAAGTTTCACAGTCAATAGACCATGACTCAGAGAAATGGGGCCAAATAATCTCCATGGAATTGAAATGTCCAAATGCTAATACCAGTGATTTTCCTACCTTTTTTCAAATGGGGCCTATACCCTAGCCAATTGGGAAAAATGTGTCGTATATAACGTGTTAATTGGGGAAAAAAATAAATCATTGATTTCATCATATCTTAATGAGGTTATTTATTAGAATTCCAATTTTCTGAACATATCAAATTTTTTTTCTTAATGCATGTTAATATATGTAACACTCAGAAACGTGTCCATCCCCCCAAACGTGTCCGATTCCCCCAAACGTGTCCATATGACGTCGCTGAACTGAAAAACATGTCTAGGTGCTAAAGGGCGCCAAACGTGTCTCTTTTCATTAGAACGCCCAATCGTGTCCATTTTTTTTGGAACGCCCAAACGTGTCCATTTCCCCAAACGTGTCCATATAAAGCATAAACATCTCCCTTTTGTGACCGCTCAATCTTGTCCATAATTATTTTTAAATGCCCATTTAATTAAGTTCATTGTTTGCCTAAAATAACAATAACATGTCCACCAATATTAAATATATAATTTTGTTAAACAACAAATTTGATAATTGCACTTTCATTTACGTATATACTCCTTTTACTCTTTCATCTCATGGTTGTCCTGCCCCCAAGTGTAACTGGAGAATAGAGATAAGGTCTTCCTCCAACAGATAGTAAAACCCTTGACAAAGTGGGGCGTCTGTTTGGCTGTGCGGGATGTAAAAGTACGATGCCACGTCCGGTCAAAATAACTAAAGGATGTTAAATCCGAAACCTCGTGTATGGAAAGTGCCTTTATTATAGACCTACTTATTGTATCTAGTGTTAATATGTTCTCGTCCTGAATATACATAAAATATTTGCCACTGGACGTTAATCAACCCACAGTCAATCAATTTATTGTCTGAAATATGCATGAAAAAATTGCCACAAAACGTTAAGAAAGCAACAATCAGTTAACTTCTTTCACAATTGATTTCTCGTATACGTAATGTGCCAGTTAAAATGATGATGCACATTGAAAATTACTTAATGATAGATGCAAATTTATTCCTCTTGTTAATGTCTCTTTATTGATGTTCGAAACAAAACTTCAAAAATAAAACTAAATACCAGTACACACTTTGAAGAGCTGATAAAAGAATCCGTGATATCTCTTCAAACATCATTAATATGCATGTAGTTAGACATCAGCGGAGTATATTAGTACAAAAGAATTCACTAAGTAAACTATAAATTTAACCGTACAAAACTAATTAATTGCAATTTTCAAGTTCGCTCTAAATATGCAAGGAATATTTGCCACTGGACATTAAGCAATCAACGGTCAAGAATTAATGTATATGTTTCAAATCAAACTTGCAATTATGCTAAATATAAACAACCGGCGTTGAACAAACTAATGCTATAAAAACGTTTGGGACATATTAGCGCTAAAAGCTTTGAGACGTTCTGGCGTTTAAAACTGGACACGTTTTGGCGAATAACAATTATCGGACACGTTTGGGGGATGTGAAATCGGACACGTTTCGGCGATTTAAGATTTTAAGGACACGTTTGGGTGAAATAGACACGTTTGGGGGAATCGGACACGTTTGAGGGGATGGACACGTTTGGGAGTGTTACATATATATCCAGGGTTTGACACTAACTAAATTCCTTTATACAAGGGCTATCTAATTTTTTTTTAAGTCCTCCCTCAACTCTGCTAGCCCGTCAAGTTCTGCCTTTGGCACGACTCATGCTACTGGTGTCTGATGGCATGCTCCCCATCAGAAAATTTTAAAATAAATGAAGCTATATCATGTGATCTTGGACATTTCCAGATGTTTTTCATGATGAATTAACTGGTTTGCTAATAAAATGTAGAGACAAAACAATTTATTTTAATCATCTCCATTAAGAGTCTGTATGCAGTGATCTGGAAACATTAAGTCTTTATGAGCCAAGGGCTCCTTCATATAAATTTGAACATGAATGGGCCATGAGAACATATGCATAAGTAGAAATATATACTAAAACGGGAAGGTACTATCCAATACTCTCCACGATGACAACAAAAAGAAGAATCAAATCTGGATACACTACACAAACTAGTAGAACAATTCACATTCAAATTATTACAACTGATTTAATAATTTTTAATAATCATCAAAGTTAGAAGGAGATAATTAAAGATTCGTTTCTATTCCCGTGAATTCCTAGTGTAAATGGACTGCCATATTTTCTATGGTACATGAATTTAATAAATACCATTTCGTGCACTTCCGTGGCTTGATTGACTGTTTAATTGATATTATCATCACAACTAACAGAAGAAAATAATGTATTGACCAGCGAAAAAAGCATTTTGCTGCACGCTTTGGCATGTTTACAAAATTTATAAATAAACCAAAGACTAAAAAATTAACAAAGACGGTTAAGCGCATTTTATGGAGACAATAACTAAATTTAGAATAAATGCTCAATGTTTTTTCAATCGAAGTTAATAGTAATCATACTTTCAATACTTTTATTGGAAGAAAAATAATCGACCGTAGTAGCAAACTTTCATAGAATTAAAATTGTTTCCTTTGAAAATTTAGATCATGGTTATTGACGTTTTTCCGGTTTTCAGATGAACCATGCAGAACTTTAAACTGGTTCCCGAAATATGATGATAATCTGTCTACGGACGTATTTTTCTTCGGGAACAGTACAACAACCTATATTTTGAACCAAATCATACAAACGATAAAATTATCAATTATCTTTCTGCTACAACTTGATTGAACTGGGAATCTTACGTGTTCATTTGGGAAAAATTTAGGTTTTTTTCTAATTGGGAACGGGGCCGATATTCGGACCCAAAATAAAGGCAGGAAAATCACTGAATACAACTGCATACCAAATATCATTGGCTTACCACTAGTGATTTCCCTTAAACTGGCCTCATCACAAACTTTACATGAAAACTTAAACCGTAGTGTATTATTGAAAATATATCAAACAACTTCTCTTCATCTCTTGACATGAATTTGGGAAAAATGGTTGGAGCAATTCATTCTTTATTTTAATTATAGTTGTGTCAAGAAATGGATATTATTTTGTGGAATTTGGCGGGAAATAACTTATTCACTTTTGCTCTATTGAATCCTGTAGGGAGAGCGTTTCAGCATTTCAGTAGAAGACACAGTGTTACATTTTGTAAGTTATGATCTGTTATATATTTTATGACCTAGACACCTTATTGCTATTTGTTTGCCATTTCTGGAAATTGCAACAGTTCCAGGAAAATTTGGACTTCACAATAGAAAATGGCTGACGTCCAAAACTAAAATTGACCATTGTATGATGCCAATTTCCCAGTGTCACAGATTCCTAAACAGTGAAAAGGTCTTTAGTTTAGAAAAAAACAAGCTGTTTCAAATTTTAGGTTTGTGACCTTTTGTATTGCACCCACATTTCTACATAAAGGTTTACGCAGCTTTTTACGTTATGTTCGTTTTTCATGATACATTTGTAAATCAGTTTCGGGTTGTAGTAGTGGTAGTTGGAAATAATTTCACGTTTTTCCAGATATCATTTATGATTTAATCTGAGACTGGACAGTGCTTTTGATTCAAACAATTAACAAGCTATTTGAAGGGAATCTTAGATCGATTTTTTTCTCATAACATTACCAAACATAATACAAAGGAAAGTTTCATACAGCAGTATCTTGAGTATATTTCCGACTGAAGCAGTTTATTGGAAATTTAACCGGAAGTATAAACTCGAAAGTGAAAGTGTAATATACACCATAGAAAATTATTAGTAGTACATACATACTAAAATGAAACGAAATCAAATTTTTACAATAAAAGAGTCCACTTTGATTCAGCATTGTTCGAATGAATTTATTAAATTAGAGAACTATTTCAATATCTAAAGTACTTATTATTTCTCAACTTCCGGTTCGTCCTTTCTTCCGTCGTCAACAATTTCACCAACATGGTACGATACTACCCATACTTCAATCCACATTTATCGTTTATATTACTGACCATCTTGTTGAAGGAACAAATGAATAAAATATTTAATACCCATTCTTTAGTTTGATAGCATATTCGTACGACATTGCGTCCTTACGAACGACATTATTGATGTGAAAGATAGTCCGATTCAAGGGAAGTAGTCCAACTGACTTTCAACTAAATGTTAATAGATGCATTAAATTAAAACATCTGCATGTCAATATCCTCAACGGGAGTTTTGTTGGAAGAGACTGATCCCTTTTACTTTTTTCTTTATCGCACTCTTTTATCATGCCAGGAATAACCATTTAATGGTGAATTATATCTGATATGTTCTTGTTTTGTGACATGCCGACTTTGTCTTTAAGTAAGGCTTTTGACTTGACCATTAGATGCTAAGGACAAGGTTCATTTGATCAGCATATTAAATGCTTTTTATGTTTCATGGAATATAAAAAACTTGGATGTCAGATTTCTATCATCCCGCTTCAATTGTACATGAAAATTAATACAGTTCGCTTCAATATTATTACCAATTTTCTCAACATTGTTTATTTTGGGACCCTCTGCAGGAACAAGTAATCACCCAAGTAAAGGATACATATATATATACACCTACCGGTCGTCATATGGCCTTTAACATAGAGAAAAATCCATGCTATCATGTCTGTGTGTGGAATGGTAGGAGTACAACAATTTGGTTGACTGTACAATGTATTTATAAATATATGCTATATTAATATTGAGAACGGAAACTGGGAATGTGTCAGAGAGATGACAACCCAACCAAAGAGCAGAAAACAGCCTAAGGCCACCAATGGGTCTTCCAACACAGCAAGAAAATTTTGCACCTGGAGGCAGGCTAAACAATATTCAATAATGTACAAAATGAATACTAGTTCAGCGAAAATGGATGTCACACTAAACTCCGAAACATATAAATGAACCAAAATTATAAGAACACAAGACTAACAAAGGCCAGAGGTTCCTGACTTGGTACAGGCGCTAAAATTCTATGGGGTTAAACATATTTTGTGCTATCTCAACCCTCCCCCTATTAATCTGCCTATTCCAGTGTTATAAAAAATCCTACTGATCTAGGAAGTCCACTTAGCCAAATAAGTCTTTAAATTAGAAATAATTGAGTTACTCTCCAGAGTAGGTTGTGAATCACCATTTCATGTTCTCTGTTGTATACTTTTCAGAGTGAAGGTGCCACAATTCGTACTAGGAAATTTATGACCAATCGTCTGCTGTGCCGGAAGCAGATGGTATGTATAGACACTAGAATTATTTATTTTCTCAATAACAAAGCATTGACTTGTGAGATCAAATGTGAGGAAGGTCATTTATTTTAGATTTGATAGGTGGTTGGTTTATTATACATGTATGACAACATGAGGAAAAAGAGAGGAGACCAAACCTTAAGAAATTTTAAAACATAGGGTGTGACATTCAGGGTAGTCCTTGGAAATCTATTCGAAATAATTATGTACTCATGGTAGATTGGAAAATGTCAGATTTGTCTAAAATGACATCAAAGCTCTTCAATAGTACAGCAGTACACTTCAGTAAGAAGTTAACAATCTCCCAAGAAATTATAATACAATCAAAACATTGGTCTGAATATAAATCTAATTGTTAAAATTAAGGGACATGAATAAAATTCTCCATATACAACAATTAAAATGTGGGGTTTTTCCTCATTTACTTTTTCTAAATTGACTGGAAATGAAGGAAAACTACAAAATATAAACTCAGCAAAACCTTTTGATGTTTAAGACAGCTTACCTAGCAGTCTTCCCATGTTATGCATCTGACTTCTAGCTGACAACTAAGAAGCAGCTGTAATTACAAAAATTATCGCAAAAATTTTTCCTATGAAAAAGTAGGATACAACATTCTAATATGACATTCTTCAAACACTTTGTCAAGTTTGAGAACGCACCCGTGGTAAAATATGAATATATTGATATGTTAGCTGATCGTCAACGTCATGGATTGTTTGGGCTGTTCCAATCTTACTCCCACATATTTTGCTTTTTATACGACCGCAAAAAAATTTTGGGATGGTATGATGTCATCGTCTGCAGTGTCTTCCGAAGACACATTGGTTTCCTGACAATAACTTTAGTTTAAGTGAATGGATCTCTATGAAATTTTTTAAGAAGGTGCAATACCACAAAAGGAAGATTGGGATTGATTTTGGGGATGATGGTCCCAACCGTTTAGGAATTAGGGCCCAAAAGGGGCCCAAAACAAGCATTTTTCTAGTTTCAGGATAATTACTTGTGTATAAGTATCTCGATTGCTCTGAAATTGTACCACAATGTTTAATACCAAAAGTAGAAGGTTGGGATTCATTTTAGGGCTATGGGGCCAACAGTTTAGGAATTAAGGGCCAAAAAGAAGCATTTTTCTAGTTTCCAGACAATAACTTGTGTGTAAGTGTATGGATCTCTCTGACATTGTACCACAAGGTTCCATATAACAAAGGGAAGGCTGTGATTGAGTTTGGGGTTAATTGCACCAAACATGTAGGAATTAGGGGCCAAAAACAAGCATTTTTCTAGTTTCCAGACAATAACTTGTGTTTAAGTGTATTGATCTTTCTGAAATTGTACTACAATGTTCCATACTACAAAGGAAAAGCTGGGATTGAGTTTTAGGGTTATTGCTCCAAGGGGGGTTTCAAAAAGTTGGGGGGGGGGGGGGGGGATTTTTTTTTCCAATTTTTTTAAGGGATTCATATCTTTTTTTCAAAATTTTTCAAATTTCGAATTTTTGAAAAGTTTCAAGAAGAAATCTTCAATTGCACAGCATTGCGCAAGATCTTTGACCACATTTATTTTGTGTCAGAAACCTTTATTATGTCAAAAATTTGATCACAACCCAAATTCAGACAGTATCAAGCTTGAATATTGTGTCCAAATTTGCCGAACTGTTCAGGGTTCAACCTCTGCGGTCGTATCAGGCTGCGCTCATACGAAGTGAAGCATTTTATTTATGAATGAATTACCTGAGGTCAGATGGTGTAAATGACGTCATTGAACGATGACGTGAAAACCTAAGCATTCTACGGGAAAATGCACAAATTTGAAAGTGAAAGTCGTCAAAACATGAAAACATGACAAATATTGAAATAATGATAAGAATTTGTTGAAAGCCCATTTTCTTAAATAAAAGTAAGATAATCAATCAGCTTCGTCCAAATCTGTCTAAGTATGTTATTGTAAATCATTTAACCATGTCACTTATTCAGTTTTCTTCGTATTTACATGAATTTTAATAATGAGTTCAATTACGGGAACAGCAAACATTCCCTTCACCTCAGTGATATTGTTGTCTTTTTTCAGAACTACCTCTACCATTTTTTTTTTGGGGAAAAATGCATAATTTTATTGAAATTGGGAAGTTGGTTTATTTTATTTTAAACACATCTCCGATTTTTTGCTAAACTTTACTGTCTTTTTTGCACAGTTTTATCACATATATTTTGATTGTCAGACATTTTAAACCTGAAAGGTACTTTTTGGGGAGGGGAAAGAGACAGAAACAATGATGGTACTTAATGCACTGAAAACCACATGTGTTACAAACACCGTGATGATTCTGATCAGAAACCTGGATCTCATAAGCGCTTTCACAATATCAAAATAATCATGAATACGAAATTTACATTCATTAATACCAATGCCGTCACTTTTGGGAAAAATGTAAAACTTATTGGGGGGAATTTTAAGCCATATTTTAAAGTAAATCAGAGTTTACGACAACTTGTTTTGACCCGTCAGTCATGGGACCGACAAAGCATGATTATTTGTCAGTCCTACAAAATCTGTCAATTTTATCCTGAAATAAAATTAATAACATATTTTGTCGAAAAATAACTTTATTAATATTAGTTTTATTCTTCGCACCCACAGGCAAATTAACAATGAAGGACCAGTTCAGGTCTTCTGATTGTTCTTATTTAAAGTCATCTTCACTATCCATTTCATCATCTGAATCACTTTTTCGGCTGTTACAGTATTTGTTTGCTCCATTGTAGGGTTCAATCGCCGATTGTTTGCCAGGGATGGCTCTATGAACAAATTTAGTAGGCCACGTGTAGATCGCCGCTTTGGTTTGTTTATAATAAATCCGTAAACCAGTACCGGAAATTGGCAGCGGGTACATCTGATAACCTTATTGGAAACAGTTGCGGTACATATAATAACCGATGTTAAAAAGTGCCAAAATATGCACTACAACGGCCGTTTTTACATCGGTCATCGGGACCGGCACTAGCCTTCAAAATACAGATCCCGAGCCTCATTTTGACCGACAGGACCGACCATTTTCGCGAACTCTGGTAAATGGGAATTTTCTCTAGGGGAAAAAGCCGAATTTCGGATGTAATTTGAGGCAAACAATATCACTGCACCTAGAGTGCTTCCAAACTAAAGAATTGCTGTCTTTGTCCTATTAGAATAGAAATAATTCAGGGGGGCTTGAATTTATATTGATTTTACCATGAGTTGTCCATTTATGCTGATATTTTACCCCTCGCTATCGCTCGAGGTAAAATATTTAGCATAAAAGGGCCAACCGTGGTAAAATAACAATTAATTCAAGCCCCCATGAATTATTTCTTAAATAAAAAATACAAGCAAGTATTCTTGTTCATTCAGGACTTAAGTACTTGTGTTTTCTTTCTGTCAAGCAATAGATTTTTTCAATGAGTG